TGATATATCAGTTAAGATCTTCTGACAAGCACATGTCAAGACACATGCACTTGGGCCTCTCTGGTGGCCCAAGGGGTTAAGACGCAACCTATGAAGCTATCCACAGACACTGCAGCATGAGTTCAATCCCCACTGGCCAGGGAGCTACCCACATGGCACAGCAGACCTCTCCTGACTCACCCGCTGCTCCCCTCAGCAGCGTATTTCAGTCAATCTGCCTGTTCTGTTCCCCACTCTGTCTCTAGCGAGTCCTCTCATCCCCCACACCTCTGGCCTGTACCCCAGTTCTTGTGTACATAAATAAATAAATCTTTTTTAAAAAGACACATGCACTTGAGACCTTTTTTAATATATTCCAGAAAAGATACTACATCCAGCATAAGAAGAGCAAATGGGGCTATGTAGGTCATGGCACTCCACAAACATGCTACAGGATCCAATCGTTTCTGCAGGAGCCTTGGTGACTTAAATGGAGAAATGATAAAAACCATGGTCCAGGACTGTGCCCACATATCAGTTGTCATGAGGTCCTCTTCTCTAGCTATTTGCATGGTAAATGAGCCAGACGCTAAACGCGATCTTGCTACCTGTTCTCTTAAGTCATTCCTAATAATATACTAATAAATGTACAGTTTCAGGCCTTGAAGAAAAGAAACAATTACCAAGAGGTGTAGCATGCATGCTTTGTCAGAGGAAATACCTGAGAAGGATAAAGAGGGGGAAGAAAGAACAGATGGGAATGCAGGCCTACTACCTATAAAGGAGAGAGGAGGGAAAGTTAAACTGGCTTCCTTTGACCAAGGAGAGGTCAAAAAGAAGTGAAGGGCACCTTAACATTTATCCCACACCCATAAAACCCATCTGAGGATAAGAGCTGGTGTGAGGCCGGGAAGAAACATAGTAATGAAATAAATTTTTGCCTCCTTTAGCAAACATTCACTTCTAGAATTTCACCTCATCTAACTTAAATATGAACCTCATAACAGTCACCCAACTTCTACTCTATCTAGGTGTGGGGAGATAATTCAGCATCACAAGAATCCTCTTGAGTCATGAATAACATTAAACCTACTTTTTGTCATCTCTTTTATGAGCTACAAATGAGAACTTGTGAAATGTATAGGAAAGGATGATGAGAAAAGCAACTGATTAATCCATTAAACATAAATACCTGCTTTGTTTAGGATTAAAAGTGTTACAGGACACAAAAGTTTATAGGACATCATCCTATCTTCAGAAAGTTTTCATTTTGAGTAGATAGATACATAGAAATAGGATGGGGGGGCCTCCCGTGGTGGCACAGCGGTTGAGCACTGGGCTGCGAGGCTGCCCGCAGCCTCTGCAGCGCCAGTTCTATCCCCGGCCACCGGCGAGGGTCCCACAAGAAAAAAAAAAGAAAGAAATAGGATGAGAATACATCTGGTTATCACTGAAGTGCTATAAAGACAATAAGGGCAAAAAGTAATTCGGAAAAGGGAGAAAAGATAATTGGGAACAAGCCTTTCCAAAAGTTGGAATATGAGCTGATCCTAAAGGATGAGTGTGGGGTCTCCTTGGTGGCGCAAGGGATTAAGCACAGCACTGTGAAGCTATTCAAAACCTCTGCAGCATGAGTTTGATCCCCAGCCAGGGAGCAACCCACATGGCACAGCAGACCTCTCCTGCCTCACCTGCTGCTCCCCTCAGCAGTGTATTTCAGAGCTGCCTGTTCTGCTTCCCTTTCTGTCTTTGGTGAATCTTCTCACCCCCTACACCTCTAGCCTGTACCCCAGTTATTGTATGCATAAATAAATAAATCTTTAAAAAATAATAAAAAATAAAGGATGAGTAGGGTTTAGATACGAGAAGAATAGGAGAGGTGGTCCCAATAGGCCAACATAGGGATAAGCAGCATATCTGGGCCTGGGAACAGATCATTTTGAATAAAGTATTTTCACCAGAAATAAATCAGCATTAATTTTACATATAAATATTTGTTCAATTGGTAATGTTAAATCATAAATAATGCTTTTCATTTTCAACTTAAATACTTTACTTATAAATTATTTCTTTTCCTTAAATTAAAATGAAGGTTAGATTAACTTTTCTATTGTCTTGTTTTTACCAATTATAGCTTCTGCCTAGGGGAACCTTTATTTCTCCCACATCTAATATTTTCAAGTCAGATTTTGCAGATTAAAAATTTAACAGGAAGATTTTATTCCTCTGTTAATACTTGGGAAAAAATAATTTTAATGAGTGCTATTTTTAGCGATTGCCAATTTTTTTCTATACATTGCAAATTCTAACTTTTTCACAATTATACAGTATTCATTACTAGTCATTAATATTTTATCAATAATAAATTTTATCTATGAAATTTTAGCCAGTCTTTTTTTATTTTGTGTTATATATTTCTACCAATGTTATTTATCATGAAATATAAAAATATTGCTAATCTATACTTATTTCTTAGTTCAAACATGATATTTTATGGGCCACCCCTTCAAATAGTCCATACAGGTCTCTATTTTCCAAACTGAAATGCAAAGGCATTGTCCCAAAAATCCAGTTCTTCTCTACATGTCTGATTCCCTTGTGTATTCAAAATAAAGAACAAAGGCACCTGGTTGCAAAAGCCCTGGTTGCAAGCAACAGCAACTGATTCCGGCTGATTTAAAAGAAAAGCATTTTGGGTCCTCCCTGGTGGTGCAAGGGGTTAAGCACCGCATTGTGAAGCAGTCCGCAGCCTCTGCAGCATGAGTTCGATCCCTGGCCAGCCAGGGAGCAACCCACATGGCGCTGCAGACATCTCCTGTCTCGCCCGCTGCTCCCCTCAGCAGTGTGTTTCAGTCAGTCTGCCTGTTCTGTTCCCCACTCTGTCTCTGGGGAATCCTCTCACCACCCCCCCTCCGCATCTCTGGCCTGTACCCCAGCTCTTTCATGCATAAATAAATAAATCTTTAAAAAAAGAAAAAGAAAGGAAAAAAGAAAAGCATTTATTTAAGGGATTTGGGGGTAACTCAGAATTCTGGGGAGCACTTGAGGACCGCACTTGGAAACTACAGAAATCAGGATCAGCTGCTAAAGGCAGATGATAGCTGAGCTGGTCTAGTCTGGTTATCTTGGCTACTATGGGCACCAGGCTTCAAACTCATTCTGCTGGCTCTCCTGGCCCTTAACACTGGATGTCAGGAGCCAGACCAACCACCGCTGCCACCATCATAGGGAAGCCTCACTGTGGCCCATTTCTTTGCACCCCTAGCTCTCTAATAGAAGCCTGGAGTTGGTGTGTCTAAGTGGTGGGGGGTAGGGCACATACCTGCCTTCTCGCTGCAAGAAATCCAAGGGCAGCAAATGGAACTTAACTCCTACCCAGAAAATTAGGTGGAAGAATTGCTCAACACTAGAAGGGGTATCATTGACTGGCTATCAAAAAAGAATGTTAAATGTCCACTAGAGACACTTAACAGTCAAAAGATCAGAGAGAAAATATCCTGATCTTGTTGAGCAGAATAGCCACAGCCCCTGGAACTTTACACAGGAGCTGTTCACACCAGGACTAACACATTTCCTCCCCTGTATTCTTCACTGTATAATTATCTGTGCAGTTTCTCAGGCAGGAGTCAGTTAAATAAATAAACAAAATTTTCTGAGGGGAAGCCAATATGCGCTCCTCCCTCAGTAGTTTATAGCAAATATTTTAATCAAAATGTTCTCTACATCTAGTATTTTTTCTATGCTTCTATTGATGTTGCCATTAGAGCTGTTGAGGTTTTCAGATTTCAATGGGTAACTGAAAAAATGATTGGCTTTGGGACTCCCCGGTGGCGCAGCGGTTGAGCGCTGGGTTGCGAAGCTGCCCACGGCCTCTGCAGCGCCGGTTTGACCCCCGGCTGCTCCCCGGCCATTGGCGGAGGGTCCCACATGGCGCGCAGACCTCTCCTGCCGCCCGCTGCTCCCCTCAGCAGTGTGCTTTGGTCCTTCTGCCTGCTCTGCTCCCCGCTCTGGCTCTGGTGAATTCTCTCACCCTCCCGCGCTTCTCACTGTACCCAGTGCTTGTATAAATAAATAAATAAATCTTTAAAAAAAAAAAAAATGATTGGCTTTAAATCACCACATTTCTCTGAAGATTTTTAAAAATAGTTCTCATTTGGGTGTTTATTATTTAATGTAATGTTAAAAATCACAGAGCTTGAATTAACATTGTATAATCATATATATTTGATTTTAAGGATAATTCAAAACTACAATTTTAAGCATTTTATGTATAAAATAGATTGAGCAAATAAAAACAATCTTTATGTTAGCAAATTTCCATAACAACACACAAGTCACAGAATGATTTTTATACAACCCAAAGATTGTGGAATGCTAAACTTTAGGACTTAGGGATTTCATGATCCTATTTTCAATATGATTGAGGTTGCTATTCCAAGCATCCAAAATACAAAATATTTTAGAGTAGTCATTAAAGACAAAATTTTTTTACAGTAATAACTTTCCAAATGTTTTCTTGTGTCATAGTGCTTGTTCCTTCTCTATGTGTAGAATTATTTAGTCAGGGAGGGAGGGCGGGAGAGATGAAGGGAGATATAAATATTCCTTTCTAAATAATCCGTAATTCCGCCAGTCCCCTAAGCATTCTTCTTAGTACCCTCTTTTGGATCCCTGAACAAAGCTATTTTGTTTCTAACTATCTGACCAAGATGTTTCTGTTACAGCCCAGACTGAATGACCTGAGGGATGTCCAGGGAAAGGGGGAGCAATGTCTCTTTGGGGTCTTCCTAAGCTTTCCAAATGCTTAGTGTTTCACCCCAGAATTCTACGGAAGTTTAGGCAATTGTTATGGGGTTGTCACAACAGAACACAAAAGGCTCTTGGAATGAGGAATTCAGGAACTTTCCAGTGTTAATTCACTGTCATGGAATACCACAGTTTCTATCAGTCTACTATGGTTTTCTTTCAGTAAATACTTCAAGGGACTATTTATCTCAGCCTTACATTTCCCAACAGAATTATTAATCAGACCCATCTCCACAGCCACTGTGAGTGAGACAGGCATAGTTCAGGCCTTCGGGCTTGCCAGGAGAGCAGTAAGCCTCTTGTTTTTCTTGGCAGATATTTTTGTCTGCATGTGGTTCCTTCTCTTCTTTCCTCAGACCACAAGATTCTGATTCCTTGGAGCCTAGAGGACCCTCAGAATTTTCTTCACCCTGGCTATATTCTGCAGCAAGTACCATGTAGTTTAACCCTTCTTGGTTCCTGGTTTCCATTAAAGCAATTGACATAATTCCATCTGAAGTCACACAAGTCATACTGCCATCTTCATCTGTAAAAAAAGCATAAAAGTTATTCTAGCATCTATTTGACTTTCTTTACCTGTAATATACAGGCTGTATGAGAACTATAACAATACCAACCTTTTACATTAGTTCAGCCAATATTTATGAGGCCCACTGAGGGAATACAGAGATAAACAAGACATGTTCCCTGACCTTGAGTTAGTGTAATCTTAGTAGGAGGGTAGAAATATTACCACAGAAGGTGATATGTGCTACATAAAGGAAAACATAAACTGTGGTTAGAGTGCAAGAGTGATTACGTCCACCACAATGGGTGGATCAGGTCATGAGAAAACAGCAAGAATAAGGGTTCCTGGGCAGGAGCTGGTGGGGCGGGGGTGGGGGGGGTGGGGGGGGTGGATTGCAGAATGGGTAGGCAGTCAGCATGACTGGCCCTCCTCAACTGCCTAATCCCCATAAGTAGAATATGGAGCCATTAACACTAATTGACAAATAAATTAAAATGAGAATGCTTATGATCTCAAAAGGCTGATCAGGAATGGACACAGGCCTGGCAAGTTTTGATGACAGATTTGAAGGAGGCAGAAAATGACATGAAATACAAATATCATTATCATCTCTGTCATTACTAACACTCATGGAAACCAAGCACTCTTCTAAACTGTGCACATATACAAATGTTAAAAAGTGATAGGGAGAAATATGATATTTAATTTTATATAATCCAGTGGCCCAAATTATTGAGAGAGTTTTAGAATTTCAACAAAAACTTAAATCTTTAGTATGTGTAACTAACTTATGTTATCAGCTGCTTAACTGCCATATCTTTAACCCATTAAGTGGCATATTGGGAAACTTTCTGACAAAACATGATTGATTCTTAATTATTGCCAGTTGTTAGGTTATTAAAAAAACTTTTAAAAAAGGCAAATAATTATTTTTTACAAATTCTGGTGCCGTATGTCAAAGAAAAATCATTAACTAACTACGTCTTGGGTTCACAGTTCTTAGAGCAATATTTAGTAATTTGATTCGGTAAAGCTTTCAGCAGGCAGTACATCTTATTGCCTAAAGAACATATGAGAGATGGGGGGGGGTGTTTTGTTTGTTTTTGTTTTAAAACTGAATAAAAGGTGTGCAAGTCCCTTAATGCAGAAATATGGAACAAAGACAGCACACCCTTAGTAACCCTCTCTTTAAGAGGGAAATATTAAAATACAGACATCCCAGTAAGACAGGGTATTTACAGACGAGACATATGCTGGCTGACAGGCTATGTTTAGAACAGCAGAGGAGCATTTAGATTTGTTTCCTGTAGAACGCTCTGGGCTGGTGAGGTGATGTTTACACAAATGTTTGGATGAAGTCACTGAGATATTTTTACTAGATGCCCAGATATGTTACTAATCTCTCTCTCTATTCCCACTCTACCACATTAGGTTAGTAGGACCATAGGATAAGTGTGCTATTATTTGTCCTTGTGATCTTAATGTTTTTTTTTTCCCCAAACAAATTCCTTCCAATGTCTTCCTTATCTTACTATATACCTCCAACAGAAACAATGAAGACAGGCCTCTTCCTGTTTTGCTAAATATGCCCACCAATCTACAAAGCAGTAAACTGTTTTTAAACAATTTCTATTTTCTTAAAAAGTAATATGGTTAGGCTTCCTTTGAAGGGGAATTGAAAACCCATGATTTCAGCCCTTTGCAAATATTTTACCTGTCAATCTATTTCTTCTTTCTTCTCTGTCCCTTTTGTTTAGTCACATCTCAATTGTCAAACATTTTAGTGACTTCCATATCTCTTTCCACTCTTTATTGTCATGATTTGTATTCATTTCAAATAATAGAATGTGAATTTCTCTTTTACTAAAATTATATTTGTGTTGGCAGAAAATTACTCATTTCTAGCTACATTTTCAAGGTTTGATGATCTTCTCTAAACTCTTACTTCATTATTCTGTAGATTCATGTCTGCTTTTCTCTTTCTTGAATATTATTTAGAATTTTGATTCAGTCTGCCAACAACTTTGGCACCTAAGAAACCAGGAAAAAATGGAGTATCTTTCCCAGCAGGCTATACTGCTATGTTCTTTCAGATACTTAGCAGTTAGGTATGTGCAGTGCACTTTTGATTGTGTACTTGAGAAGCATGTGTGGGCAATTTCCTTACCACAGCCATATCTCTATGAAGACTCTGGAATGGAGCAAAACTCCAGCCTCACCTCAGCGTATGACTATGGGCCAGTTTCTAAACCTCAGTCTTCCCCTCCATAAAATGGTGATATAATACACCTATCAAAGAGTTATTGTGAGGATTTCATGTAGTACAATGCATGACACATTAAAAAATGCTAAAATAAAATAAAAGCCATTTTTTTATTTTAATTTTCTAAGCCATTTTTTAAGGGGGTTTTGTTCCATATTTTTGTGTGAGTATTATTTGCTACTTGTCTCAGTCACATAGGTGACTTAGGAATGCAACATGGTAAAAAGATTTTCTCCAGGGATCATGGAGACTCGAAGCAGCTAAGGTAAAGCTAAGCTCTCAAACCTTCTCACAGCCATAATGGTATGATTTTTATAAGATGCCTGCACACATTAGAAAAAAAGAAAGGACTCCATGGACAAAGTAAAAGGGTTAGGTTTTAAAATACAAATCAACTGCAGAATCCTTTTATTCCTCTGAAACTTTTTTCTTTATAGCATTTGATCCCCCTTCCTTATTAAGCCACTCTCCTTTAAATTTCCATGACAATACTCCTTTCACAAACTCCTTCTTTCCTTTCTGGCTTCTCCTCTCCATGCCTGCCATTTTTTTTTTTTTTTTTTGTGAAAACCTTCATATATTGACTGTTCTTTCAGTGCCGTGCTCTGTCGCTTCTTATTTTATACACTCTAATTGTGTAACTGGTGATTGAAGCCAAAGACTGTTGCAGGTGGTGTCCTCTGGAGGGGGTGCAGTGGGATGGATAGCCCCAGGGAAAATTCGACAAAGTATGGGCCCAGGTGGAGACAATGGTAAGAAATATCAGGGACTGCAGAAGCAGCCCCAGCATTCAGTGTTCGGGATTCAATGTTCCGGATTCAGCTTCCGGGATTTCAGTGTTTTTTCGGATCTTCAGCTATTTGGGGTCAGCGATTTCTGACCCCACCATGTTGATCTTCCAGAAGGCTATTGTGGGCCTCTGAAGGATGTGGAGAGGCTTCCAGCAGCCAACCTCAGACAAGAAAATTTCAGAGGTTTTGCAAGTAGCTGAGATACTGAAACTGTTCCGTTCTGCTGCAGCTAAGGCCCAGCAGGGAGGGCAAAAACCCAGAGGTGGCTGAGCTGTGGGTGTGGCCATTTGTTGGGCGGTTCGCTGCCATAGTGGCTGTTTTGAGTGGCGCTTGTCTGGTGCTGTACTGGGGCATCTTGGCAGCTCTGTAAGCATCTCCTGTTGTGTATTCTGCAGACTTCGTAAGTTGGATCCTGGCATATTGTTTGGCTGCTACATGCTGTAGGGCCTTTGCAGCGGGAAGACACCATCTTCGGAGCATATGTGTTTAGGATGACACTGCTTCAGGTGAGGTAACGGCCGTTTTTGGCCTCAATAACTCTTTGTTTTTCTTTGGTTTGTTAAATAAATCCCATTATTTTTCTCTGAAGCTGAGTAGTCTTGCAATTGTGCATGTGCATGAAGAACTCAGGCAATGACCAATAAACTATTTGGGTGCTATCATTGGCCAATTTTTGTGCCCATTGCTGCCTTGTATCAATTGAATGGTCTCTCACCTGTATCCTTGACTTCAACTCCCTCCATTTACAGGATCTACTTTCAACTGAATACTGGACTTCTCCTCTAATTCCATAGCCAACTCAAACCAAACATGTATAAAGCTCTTCCTTCTCCTAGTCCCCCATCTTTGGAAGTGTGCTACTTTTAACCTAGTTTCATGAATCACAAGGATTCATCATGATTGCCTCTCTTCTTCACTAATTAGATGCCAAATCCTACAGCATCTACCTTTGTTCCTTCCAACTACACCTGTTACCATTCATTAACTCAGCTTTCATTAACTATCCTTTTTCATCTGTTTTGAGTAACCACTAGCCCTCCAATTTCATCACTTGCCATTTCATAAAATGTCTTCCGTATACAGCCCCTTTCACCTAGTTCATTCAGTTCACACTGAAGAGAAACCAGAAAATTCTGAAAAAATAGTCACACTTACCTTCAAAGCCTTCATTTATGACTCCACTGGTTGCTTCATCTCTGCATTGAGAAATGCTGTTTAAGGAAGCACTTCTGAATAACTGAAGCTGATCTTGAATTTCATGGAAAGTAGGTCTTTGGTCAGGTTCCTGAGCCCAGCACTGGGTCATTAAATTCCACCTGGATAGGAAGTTATGTAAGGGTATCATTTGACAATATTACTTTACCCACATACAGTCATTTTAGAAGGAAAAATTTCAGTTATTTATAATTGTCTGTAATTAATATAAATGAAGAAGAACCAGAACTTTGATTTCTATTTACTAATGTGCAATATTACTTTTTATAGTTACTAATGTAAATAAGTAGATAAATAGAGGGTTGGAAAATGTTTACTCAACATATGATGGAACTAATAGTTCCATTATAAAAGTTATCAAAAAAACTGAGATTAGAAACTTTTACATTCATACGTTGATATATAAAACAAAATCTAAGAATTACTTCCAAGACACACAGATATTTAGTATAGAACCAGATTTGATTGGAATGCTTTCACTCTTTATTACATTGTCAAGTTATGAGAGACACAGTTCCCACAAATATTTATAACTGGTTGATTAAACACTACCTTTAATAGCTGTCTGAGAAATGTCTTTAGAACACTCTTTCTCTTTTCTCACCATCATCCCCTTTCTGGTGGCAAAACATATGACTGATAACATATAAATCATTTCTCTCCTCCCACCCTTGGATAAATGAGTACTGAAGTGCCATAGAGAAAACAGAAGCTCTATAATGCAATAGTATTTTAAAGGTAAAAAGCGCGATTTGTGCTCTTCAACTGGCAATGGAATAAAATGAAGGGGCTTTTAAGAATCTAACATCCTAAAAAATGTATTTCTTATGCTTTTCAGATAAACTAATAATGATAACTATACCTTTGGCATGGAGGCCCTTAAAAATATGCATTGTCACAATTCAATATCAGGCATTATTGTACTAAATAATATTTACAAACACTCACGCATGATATACTGACAGGTCCTTCACTTTTGTTAAAATTTGCCTAGGCTGATTGTTCTAGTTCTAAACATTTACGTACTCTTCACATCTGAACTTTAGCCAAGTGTTTTAGGTTGTGTTTAGCCAAGTGTTCAGGTTGAAATTACTCCATTCAACATAGCAATCCTTTATTCCTCTGACTTAAAATTTTTTCTCAAAATTGGATAAGATTCGTTAACCGTGTCCATTATTATTAGTCTCTATGTGTATTAAAGTCCTTGGATTCATAAAGCAATTGAAATTCAACAGATGAAAACACCACATTATCTTTCAGTATTAAGGGGATGAGTTTCATAGGTATTTTTAAAAAGCACATAAAATACAAATTTTGCAAATTCCCTCACTCATTTACCCAATCCTGGAGAGATCAACCAGTAACTGGGTGCACATATTTTTAGAGGGTAAAATAAGATGGTGAATCTCATGTTCTCCCATGGTTGCCTCCTACTTTGGAGAGACTTCTAGTAATTACAGATATTACGGTGATACATCTGTCAGAGAACCCCAAAGAACTCACACTTGAAATAGGTTGCCCTTTGATCCCATTTCTACTCCAGAAATGGTTGTTGTGCAAACTAAAAGTTGTGCAAATTGTTGTTGTGCAAACTAAAAGTTGAAGAGTATACTGAGGATGGGGCTTTCCACTGTACATCCAGGGCTGTGGAAAGAAGGGCAGGAATGCTGTGAATGCCCTCATTCCATTAATAGCTGAACAAGCACAGCCCAGCCATCCACAGCTCACCTGGCCCCAGAGTGCATCCAGGTGCTGAGTATTTAAGCAATGAATAGAGGGCGCAACATGGCTCAGTGTAGACTTTCAACCCTCTAAGCTGGGCCTGTGATCTCAGAAAACAGGCACAAATAAAAATCAGTTTCCTCTGTACTCCAAGGAGAGTAGTTAATCTTTATTATGACAACTGAAGGAATGGCCAAATTGAATGGCATCACTGAGAACTCCATTTTCTAGCAGGTTGGCAATAGATCTTTAACCCTTCCTGGGTCTACTGAAAGCATGCAGTACTTGGGGGCAAAGAGCATTATTTGCTTTTTAATTACTGATGTTCAAATAAACTCCCAAAGCACCAGTGAAAATCTGGGTTTCCAGGAAACTATATCTTTCATAAGATTAGGGCAATAATATATCCAACTGATGAATTATTTATAAAGATAAGATTATATAAAATATGATTTTTTCCACTTACGAACAAATACTTTTCTAACATTCTTTTTTCCTTATCCTTCTAGTTGCATTTTTGCATAGCTTTAGATAGAGCAAAATTCAAGATAGCTGTATTTTTCTGCTCCACAATAGAATAAGTAGTTGTCTACCTCCATCCTCCCAAAACAAAAAATGAATATACCAACCAAATGTATGATTCAGTGATTGGCTCCTAAAATGTCTATCAAAAAAAAACAACTGCATAATTGTGATGAAGTACATAACCTCCCTTGGTTAGGGGTTGGAGGGCAGGTAGGAGAGTTGCCAGATAAAATTCCCAAAATATCATGAAAATTTTGTGCAACTGAAATTAGGAGGGAAATTTATGAGTAGATATACCATTAGATGTTTAAGAGCTGCAAAAACAGTGATGCTTGCTGATTGTTCAATAAAAATAGATTTTATACTTCAGTATGTTGGAGGTTTTTCTCAAATGTTACATAATTTCTTTTCCCTAAATTACAGAATTTTTTTTCATCTCTCCAAAATTATGATGAATTTATTTTTTAGGCACCACCACCAAAATTGTTCATATCTGATCTCCCTGTAAATATCCCAGGGGCTGTAAAAGCTAAGTCAGAAATACACATTGATTAAAATCTCTTTCTTCTTCAGCTGGAAGATTTAAATAATACAAAAATATTCACCAGTAGAGCATTCAACCAAGATGCCCAGTTCTTAATCATCTTTTGGCTTCAGTCTGAATAACCCTCTAAATAACACAGCATAGTCAAGTCTGTGCACTATGTGTGTATCCGCATACTGCTAATTCCTCCTGCCCTTGTCTGTACCACACAGTTTAGCACTTTATTACATGTTGGCTTGTTATCCAAGTGTTCCACGTGTGTGTCTTTTCTTTCAAAATGCATTCACAGATGCTGAAGAGCCATGGCTCTTGTTTAAACAGCTTTGAGTCCCATGCACATAGAATTATGCACATAACAAAGGAGATTATTATTATTTGTTTTTCTTTCTTTTTTGTTTTTAGAAAACTCTTGGGTAAAACACCTCTTGGAAAAAGCTTCAAAATGTGATGTCCCCAGAAGTTGTTCACAAGAAGATAACATAGTACTTAGTACAATAACTTGTCTTTTATTATTACATCAAAATTATTACATCAAAATTACCTCTTCTGAGGATAGCAAAATTATACAAATAGTGGCCAGAATCAATTTAGTATATCACTTAAGTCACTTTGTGTCATAAATATTACAACCTGCCTAATTTTCAGTAGTGCTATATCTCATTATCAGCTATGATAATGGTAATTTAACATTAAAACATTATATTCTGATTTAATAGAAACTTCTACTATGCAGATTATTAGCCCAAACATATCTTCCAAAACAAAGTGATTATGTGTGTGTGATGTGTATGCATGCTATATACTCACACTATACACGCACACAGCTTTCATTTATTTACTAGAACCCACCTAACCAGTAATACAGATGTATTGTATACTTCTAAATCTTGTTTCTGAAGTGAAATAGCATGTGTATATAAAAAGAGACCATCACACATTGAATAAATTAAGTGCCACACTTTAAATTTTATGTAACTTATACAATCTAAATTTCATATTTTATTTGAAAATATGTCAATGAGACATAAGATTGTTCGTGCACTTAATTTTATTTTGGGGGTGTTTATGTTAGCATAATTAACTTACAGATCATCAGGACAATTCCTTGGTGGCTCCAGTCTCCCTCCTGCCTGCACATAGTTTAAAACATCAAGATTGGAATGAGCTGGATAAGGCTGATGGCCAAGAGTTAAAATCTCCCAAATCACAATTCCAAAAGACCTAAGAATATTAAAAAATTTGCTTTAGTTATATGTACTTGAAATATCATGCTTACAGTAGTTTCTTTTACATAAATTCTCCTGGGGCTGTTGCAATCTTCTTTGTGATAGTCATTATTGAACCCATAGAAGGCAAATGGGAGACTTAAAAGCAAGTTAATCTCAAAAAAAAAGTAAAACAAGCAGCTGACTGCCAGCAACTCTTCAAAAGTGATAGGAAGGCTTTGTGGAGGCATGAAAACACGCACATGCACACTTTCACACACACACATGCACACACTGCTTCTCCTCCTTGATTAAAACTGCACTGCAGACCTTCACTACTTAAAACCATCCATACGCTGACATACTTATGGTGGGTGATCAAAAAGAATTTTATATTTTTCCTTCTGAGTTTGAGAGCTAGTATACATAAAGAGGGAAGGCATGAATAAAAGCTGGCAACACTGAGGATCAATTTTACCTCATTCCCAACTTTTTCTAGGGTCAGTCCAAATTAAAAGTTATTGAATTTAAATGTCTCTATTTTGAGCAACCCTACTCAAAAGTTTTGGGTAAGTAAACAAACAAACAAAAAAGGCCTTATTCAAATAATACAGACATTCAACTTCCCCAGGTCTTAATCTTTGAGATCCATGATTAATGTTTACTTATAAATTAATGATCAAACATTAATTCATAGGCACTAATTCCTACTAGTCATTGCTTTTACACTTTTGGGGAGTAATAACATATTTGAAATAATTTACCTATTTCCTATATGGTAGCAAAATAAAGGAGGGAGGAAAGTAAAGAGGTGAGACCCAGGATTAGTCCCACCTAGGCCACTATCTTTCATTGTAGCCTGAGGCAAATCACTTAATATTTCTGGTCTTCTGTTTTCCACAAAAAACAAGGATGGGTGACCTTTTATGATCTCTTCCTTCTCTGACATTGACTAGTTCTTCTGTGTCCTGTTAAGCTTACCAGACATCAGATTGAGTAGTGAAGAGTCCATCCATCAAACTTTCTGGAGGCATCCACCGAACGGGCAGTAGGCCTTCCCCTCTCTTTCTATAGTAATCATTTTTATAGATGTCCCTCGCGAGTCCGAAGTCCCCAATCTTCACTACTCGTGATGGACTGGTATAATCTTTCACAGAGACAAGGCAATTCCGAGCTGCCAGATCCCTATAGCAGAAACTATATTTAATAATAATAATAATAATAATAATAATAAAGTTCCAGAGATCACACAAGTAACATACAAATAACACTAGTAGAACCGCAGAGAAGAGAGACTCTTTACAGAAATTATTGGCATTTTAAAATAATGAAAATGTTTAATTATCTTGTATGTTTTACCCAAATTTTAGATGATTATTGTACAATATTCATAAGACCCTCGTATCCAGAATATCACTGTACCTGTGAATGAAATGCATCTGCTCCAAGTAGACACAACCTTTTGAAATATCTACACACAGGTCTACAAGGTCAACCAAGGTAAGTAAAGGACCATGAAACTGTAAAAAATGAATGAAAAATTATAGGTACTTTCCCCGTTTGCACAAAATATACTTGATATATTGTGTCACACATGTATACGTATGTCATATACATGTTTTAAAGGAATTTTTATATGGTTATAAGAATTCAGACAAAGAGAAAAAACAACTAATTTGTATACTTTCTATCAAAATATGTATAAATGAGATTGTATTTTATAAGCAGAAGCAATATAGGATTTTTATTGGAAATATCTCAAGGTATCGGGTCAGACAGACCAAGATTTGAAGCCTACGTTTGCTACTTTCTAGTTGTGGGGTTGCTCAAGTTTCTTAGTTCACTAAGAAACTTTCTTGTATGTAAAATGAGAACAATAGTTCTCACTGCATAGAATTTGATACAAGTGATGTAATATGGCTAAAACATAACCAGTAGTTAGTAAAGAGGAGCTGCTCTCATAAATAGTAAGATTACCACTTAAAAGTGATAACTAGATTATTTTTTTAAAGATTTATTTATTTTTGCATTCAAGAACTGGGGTTCAGGCCAGAGGTGTGGGGGGTGAGAGGATTCACCAGAGACAGAGAGGGGAACAGAACAGGCAGATATACCTAAATACACTGCTGAGGGGAGCAGTGAGCAAGGCAGGAGAGGTCTGCAGCGCCATGTGGGTTTCTCCCTGGCCAGGGATCAAACCTGTGCTGCAGTGACTGTGAATAGCTTCATAGGTTGTCCCTTAACCCCTTGTGCCATCAGGAAGGCCTGATAACTAGTTTAATTGTTGGCCCAGTGTCACTATTGGTTGTAAGTCAGTTATGACAATGGCTTGTTCCTTATATGAGTTTCATCTAAAGTGCTGCCAATACTCTATTTCAAGTCCACAGATGACTCTTTCATCTAAGAATCAGCACAAAAGACAGTTGAAATTGTACTATCTGCAATGATTGCTACATGGAGAAAACCAGTTGAAGTTTTTACTAGCATCATAGGGAGAAAAAAACAATCAAAGTTCCTGCCCTAAGGCTACATTCATACACTGTCCCTCCAATGCCATTCCCCTGTAAGTACCCTGAGCCAGGGCAATTACATCCCTGACTTCCCATGTCCCCAGTCTCTTGTGTTCTCATGAGCTTGCTTCATTGTCACCTGCTGCCTGTTGAGCCTCAGGCTACACCAAAATCTCTTTATTCCATTTATTCCAGTCGTTTCTCTTCTCACAATCTATATTGAGTCCCACCGCACCACTTGCAGTACCTTAATCTTGCTCTGCATTTCTTAATCTCTCTTCTTTATGCCTGCTGTCACTCCCAGAATGCCCTCCTTATTCTTATTCTCCATCCACATCCTTCACTGAGCATCTCAAGTGATTCCCAAATTTGTAATCCCTCAATTCTTCATAGATGGATGCTCTTAAATGCTGCTCCTCCTTCCTTCCCTGACAAGCTCATGTCTTGTCCATAAAGTAGGAAGAATCCTTATCTTCTAGGATTCAGCATTGCTATGTTCCCACTCAACAGCACCAAGGTCTGGTAACTAGCTGGGTCTTACTACCAGGAATCAGTCCCCTTGCAACCTTGTTCATGTCCACTAGACACTGGTCTCATGACCTATGTCTGAGTCTCTGAAGGGTATGCTAACTAGTTCACTGGTCTCTCTGAGTAGAATGCTGCTCTGCCCTTGACAAAACCTACTCTGCTCTAAAGATTTCCTTTGCCTAAAACCCTGCTCCTGGACTACAACCTAGTGGCTAGTAACCTCTTTCCTGCTAATGGATTTTTTAGAATATCACCTGCCTGCCTGCCAACCTGGGTCTCTAACCATCACTGTACCAGGTACTGGTGTTGACACTGGAGAAAGAAAAGAGGATGAACTGGGGCTGTAGGCAGAACTATAGAACTTGCAAGACTTGCTAAAATGGTTGTAGGGGAAGAAAAAGCAAGAAACTGAATGAAATGGAGCAGCAATATACAATCAAGAATTCTGTTTTGGCCAAAATAAGCTTGAGATACTTATTAGAATCCAAACAGATATGTCAACTGGGTATGGACATATAAATATATAGTCAGTTAAGACATAAGAGCTAGAAACCTGGGACTGAGAATATGTGCTTTTTCCAATGCTACATGATCCCTGATTTCCAGAAAATATGATTCTAGCAATGAGGTCTTATTTTTCCACTAAATAGTAAAAACAATTTCAAATAACCAAAAATATAAGTCTAGGATTCTAATTGTCCTAATCTAATAGGAAGGAAATCTAGTAATTATTTCCACAGAAGTCTTCTAAGTTTCTACCATCAGCTAGAATAATAGTTTATTGATTAATAAATAAAGAAAATTACTAAGAAATCATAGGAGATTTGCATTCCAAAATAAATTCTGTGGGCCCCTTTCCTACCGTTGTCATGCGAGCTTTACGTAAGTAGGTAAGAAGGTCTCCTCCTTCCATCAATTCGAGGATAATGTACTGGGGTTCATTCAGCAGACAAACTCCAAGCTGCTTCAGAATGTTCGGATGATTAAACTTGCTAAAAGGTGGAAAGAGAGACAGGTGAGATGACAGGATAGCAACAGAAGCCCTAACTGAGGGGACCTGAATGGAATAGATCAATTTTTTTATCCAGAGACTTCTTCAAACCCCAGATGTTTTTTTCTCTAAGCCTCCTTTTCCAGGTTCTGGTCTACAGACTGGGCTTAAGGAGGTAATATGGCAACCCCTAGTGGCCAATGCATATGTATTGTAGAGGCTGATTTTTAGGAGAAATTTTATATTAAGAATTTTGTGTTTGGGGAAAGAAAGTTATTTTTTAAATAAATGTATGTCCTCAAATGATACTTGAAAAAATTATGCTTTTCATCATCAAATTACAAAATAACATTCTCTCCCTTTTAGAAAAGCAACTCAGACATGCCCAGTGTGGCTATACTCTTTTCTCAAAAGTCAAAGCAAGTAAGCCCAAATTTAATTAGATTCCACAGCTTAGGATCCCTTGGGTCTTCCCTTAATGCTGTCCACAAGCAATTTTCATGACCATAAAATGATTCGAGTCTTGAAGACAAGTTTACCAATATTAAGGATCTTTTCATTGACACTGTGACTAAAAGAACTCTCTCTTAGTTGATCTTCTTGACATAAATTCACACATAAATATAAGCATATTTAAAGATGAGCATCTTTAGAATTCACTTGCAAAATATAATTTTTACTAAAAAAAAAAAGGAGAAACTTTTTGCCTGAGGACTGCCTGCACCCAGGCTCAGAAGACTGACTTCTACAGAACACTAGGTTCTACAAACATGTTTTCATTGAAACAACAGTCATTCTTGTTTTGGGCATGAGCTGTTATGTTGAGTCATTTTGAATGTTAAAAATCCATTGATCAGATGTAAAAGCTTTCTACTTGTACCAAGGGAAAATTATTTCAGAGCTGCCCTAATACCTCATCAGATGTGCCTCCTTCAAGAATTCAATCTTCTCCTGGTCTGTGGAACCCTTCTTCAAAGTCTGTGCAACGTAAGAACAAGCCCAGCATCAGTATAGCAGATGTTTCTGTGAGCTCGGTGGGTTAATGGAGAAAATCTTTGTTTTGTTTAGTAATATTCACTCTGGTGACTGAAAATAGATAATAGATAATGCACATGCTCTGTAAGCCTACTCAAAAGTTATTGATTATTTTTAATCAATAACTCCTGTTATTGATAGTTTTCAAATAGGAAAATCTTATAGATAAAAGATCTAGTAATATTTATATGAAGTCCCTCTAAATTTAAATTATAGAATTCTATAAATGAGAACAAAATTGGCATTTAGACCCATTTATGATTTTTCAGTTTTCAACTCAATACCTATTTCCCTCTGCTTCCTTGGGTATTTCTAACAATGTCCAAATTTGTTTCTTGAAATCAAGGTACTCAGTCCCCAACAATTGGTCTAACATGAAGGTCATGTACTGCAATACTCTAGTCTCCTTTGCAAGTAAGTGTTGTTCACATAGCTCAGTTATGGTCAAAGACATATGAGAAAAAAAAAAAACTGCTGAGGGGGACAGAGGTTTGTAGAAAACTTTTACTTTCCTGAACATCTATAGCTAAGACCATATTTTTCCTCTTCTTTGCCTGAATAAAGATGTGATGCCTAATTCTATGGCAACTATTTTGGGGCCATAAGGCAATATGCATGTGCAAAGTTAAGAGGATTTTAGATATACTGGTTCTGACTGACACCATACTCCAGCAATGCCAGCAGTCATCTTGATATGTGAGGAAAATAAACACTTTTTAAAATAAGTTGAGGTTGGGATAAGTGAAAGGACTTTTAAACAATATCACTGGGAATTGGAGAGAATTTTGTCAGCTTTTCTGATTGTATAGCCTACCCTCAAAGCAAAAAATCCCTAACAAGCAGTGATCAGTATATTACTCAATTACATGAAAGATTCATCATCCCTCAATGAAAAGAAAGTTTTACAAAAATCTGAGAGTATATCCAGGACTTTCCTAAAACCACCTTATATATACCATGATAAAAAGTTGTGTAGTAGAGCCAAAAAGCTACATCCCATGGAACAAATCCAGCATGTCACTTATGTTTGTACAACTTGCAATCTGAAAATAGGTGTTACTTTTTTTCCAACTTTACTGAGGTATAATCGACATGCTACAATTTTAACAGCTAAAAAAATCTATAACGAAGAATAATACTTAGAACACATGAAAATTGTATGAAATTCAAATTTCTGTTTTCACAATAACATTTTATTGGAACACAGTCACACTCATTTGCATATTGAATATTACTGCTTTTGGCACTGCAATGGCAGAATTGCATTAAATTGAATGCAATTTTTACAAGTTACATAGAACTGTATTATAGTTGAATCCATGTAAATCCAGGTGAATATGCTCACATAACATGTTAAGCAATTACAACATCCATGTTACCTTCACTGCTACTTTGGTCTCTCCACTTCCAAGTCCTAAAATGTCCACTGCTGTCCCTTCATACACTTCTCCAAAGGCTCCACTCCCCAGCAAGAGACGCAGAGTCAGTTTTTCCCGAGGGAAGGCAGGAAGACTTTCAATCTCCTCTTGGGTTGGAAGAGTACTGGAAAATGATAACAATATTTTTGGTCTTTCAAAATACATGTGGTTTGCCAGGTGGGTTGGTGTTAGTGTTAGGACTTGAGAGAAAAAGAATATGAAAATAAGAACTCATAACTTTAAAATACTGTAGTGAATTCTATGTAATAAAGGCATGTGGAATTTTGTGTTCCCATTCCTTTCCTCTTCTACCATCCAGAATATACCTTCCCTAGTCCAAATCCCAAACAAAACCTGTCACTTTGCTTCTAGGTACCTTCATTTTTATAGATATATGCATGTGCATACACTGCCTTGAAATATTTACTGTACCTTGATCTGTTAATGTTATCAGCTGGCAAGCTTTTCAAGTTGCCAAATTTTATTAAAAGCCAGTGCAAATTAGTAATAAATACATCTGGGTTTATAAGCTAAAAAGCTTTTATTTTTACCTGTTTCACACATCTTAATCTCTTATGTAAAACAAAAGTTACTATGTCTACCAAAACCAACTCCATCTTCATCAGGGTTTTAAGACAATTTAAGCTTTTTCATGTGGAATATTATGAAGAGGAAAATTCACCTGCATTTGAAATGCTTTCAGTTTTCAAAGGAGAATCTTGAATATCACATATAATAAATATTTTTTCTAAGAAAAATCACTTCTGAATAGCTGCGTTAGGTTGCTTCCATGTTACTTCATAGCCTTCATTTTACCTTAAACTATAAATTTCTAGAAGCAAAGCCTATGATTACAATTCTTTCTTATATAGATGATATTTAGCATCTGTTATCAAGAGACATATAATATTTTCTTTAATTATAATAACAGTGAAAGTTCAAATTCATCTATGTTAAAGAGGGTTTGTAGGCAATCACCATACAACATCTAAAAATGGGAAAAGATTGATTAACTAGCACATGCATGAGACATTCAGAATTCCTCTTTCTGTCACCTCCAGTTGAACCAATCGTTACCAATCACTGTCTTCAAAATAAGTATATATCTCCTTGTTTCATTTATTTTTGAACTATGTGGTAAAACACTTAATTGATTTATATTTTTTTCCTTAGGATAAGATATCCACATAAATTTGCCATAAATCCCAGGTCACACTTGGGAGAGGTCACACTTGAGAGTTAAGGGGAGGATGCTATTAATAATTATGTCAGGAAAATGGACATAACCAGGACAATCTCTGGCACCACGGGATATGTGGGCACTCTCTTTCTCTGCCCACTCTTCATCTAGGTGCCCCATAGTGATGGCCTTACGTACTGTATTGCATAGCAGGCATTAGCCAGTCCTACGCCAGTTGCCAGACCTCGAAGCTCGCTCAACTCTTTGTCTTCGTTTATGAGAACTGTCAGTCCTTCCTTGGGAGTTTTTTTATTTTTTAATCTTCTATGCCAGACTATGAAGGCAAAAGGACATAATTTACAAAATGAAACATTATTTCCTTCAGGAAATATTAGCTGTCCATTTTAAGTGTTTATGCATAAGAACACTATTAACAGAACAATAGAATCTGATTCACAAATTTTTCATAATAGAAAAACTATTAAATCACATAACTTTTTGATATCCTTTTTCACCTACTGCTGAGAATAATGTTTAACATATTTTTATTGCTATTATGAACAAGTGGAAGTATATTAATATCAGAACTTATTTCTCAAAATTGCCTGTAACCTAGAATTGAATAAACCAAAACAAATCTGTATAATAGTTATTAGTGAAACAAATTCATTTCTGAGTCCAGGTATGTCCAAGTTATACTTCTCAATAGACCTGGGGATGATTTCAATATAACGGTAGGTTTTAGTTTAAAAAATATAAAGAGTACAAGAACATATATCCATTGTTATACTCAAATATATAGAAAAATTATTGAAATAAACTCCACCAAGTGTTAGCAGTGATCCTCCCTAATTATGAAATCATGGGAGACATCTATTGTCTTCTTCACACAATGAGCAAATATTTACACAATTATAAAAAGTGACATTTTCAAAGATTAAAATGCAATTATGTCAATAAGATCACCCATCTATACTAGACTACTGACTCAGAAGTTGAAAACAGCAAGCATACTTTGTGAAGATGATCGTTAAAATTTGAATTTTATTCCATAGTAGTAGTAGTAGTAGTAGCTTCTGGAGCCAATGGGTTAGAGTTAGTGAAATGAAATGCAAGTGAGAGACTACCTTTGCTAATGTAGTCTTTTAAATACTGGTTTTAAGGCCCCATACGGCCTCAGTGACGCCAGTTATCATGTCACGGCACTGCCTTGTACATCTTATATACTATTGCCTTTCATTGTTGTTTAACACGTATCTCACAATTTATCTTTTCACATAGGTATGTCTAACCTTATGAAATGGCAAGCTCCAAGGTGAGCAACTCTATTTCAGTTTTACCTTTCCCTCTGTTGCCAGCAAAAGGCTAACATTACACACTCTATTAGACCACTAACCAAAGCAAAAGTTGTCAATGTTTATTTTAAATGCTAGTTTCACTTTTACATTTATAAGTATCACTGATGAAAATTCTCAAAACAATACAAATATTTAAATAATCGCTATTTATCATTATTTTAATAATGCAATCTTTTCTCATGCATTCTCACACCCTACTAGTAAAACCACATGCACTGCTACTAAAAGGAAAGAACTGAATTAGCTTAATTTAGTTTAATGATGAGAAAATACATTGATAATACCAAAATCCATGCTCAAAAATCCATGAGTTCCAAATGAAATAAAGACCTTTAAGTCCTGAGAAAATCAGATATCCATAGGATACCTTGGAAGCTCAGTAAGTTGTCTGAAATTATTTCATGTTCATTAGAGTTATGGTTTTATATTATGGTGATGTACAACTAGACAAAGGTCAGATGAAGGATTCTTCACATAACACTCCTTCCCAGTAAGAAAGCAAATAAGCAGGCCAGCCTATATGCCAACTGCCAAATATACTGCAGTCATATGCGTAATTCTGGAGAAGCTGGCTTAGTGGTACAAACATCAGTTGTGCAATGTTTAGACACTCTGGAACCACAGGTTAAGGTTCTGGCAGGGTCAGCTGAAATGTTTAGCTTTCCAATTTAGCTGAAGGAATTTCATATATTATCCTGTGGGAAGCTGTGAAAAGAAATCTTAAGTTTCAATGTGCTCTCATAGATTATGGCTCCAGTTTGGGGAAAGAATTAAGATTTAGAACATTTAGTGAAATATGGGCATTCTTTATCCTGAGAGAGTTATTAGTTATAATTTTTCCTTAAACTTTTCTTATTTATCAAAAAATTAAGTCACAATTTCCCAAACATGTACATGGGTGTTCTTTTCTGTTAAGCATAAAGCCTTTCTTGCAATGTAGGACTCACAGTATTAGCAAATGATGGTGTGATATGTATCTTATTATACAAACCAGGAAATTTTGGGGACTGAAAAAAGTACTAGTGATGTTTATGTTGAAACAACAGAATGAACCAGAATTGATGATCACTATGGTAACCTCACAGGACCAATATTTGATCAACCTTTGGTATTATCACTGTATTTTCTCATCATTAAACTAAATCTTTTTTTTTTAAAAAAAGACTTTAAGGATTAGCATGTTAGTATAAAATGAGAACAGAGAGAAAGCTAGCTTTCTGTCTATTCAACCTAATTATTCTGCTTTCCTGGTCATTTATAAATGAGCCAGGATTTGAAATAAGCAGAACAGATGTCTGAAAGTAAGAGTGGATCGGCCAAGCCAGAAATGGATCTTCTGTTAAGAGGCCCTGCTCATTCTACCAGGCTGTCTGCCTGGAGACACAAACTATCCCAACCAAGGATTGTCTCTGGTATCCCACTAATCCCACACTTTTTCTATACCGACTTATTTTTCTTTTACTTATCCCAAACTATAAATAACAAAACTCTTGTTGCATTACCAGTCAGAAGTAAATATTGTTTTAACAAAGTCCGTGCCTGGGAAAGTAGTTTTATCTAGTTTTGTGCCATGAAGTATAAATAAAGATATGTTTATCATAAAATAGTTACCCCTAATTCAGAAAACAATTCACAGAAGTTAGTGTTTATAAAATTATAGCCAAAGGTGATATTGTGAAGTTTAGGAATTTATTTCAAGTGTGGGGGGGGGGGTTAAATAAACTAAGATAAACTAAGATAAATTAGGGTGATCAAGTAAACAGTTTATTACTTATTTAAAAAAATCTATTATACTTACCAAAGATCAGTGGGATTGTAACAAGCAGAAATATTCCAATGAAAATAGTAAGTATAAGACTTGTTTCTGGTATCCAAAAACCATCTAATGAAATAAATGAGAAAAAATTAATGTACAGACTAAAGCTAGATAGTCCTAGTGATATGCCACATACACCAGGATGAGCTCCTGTAAATATACTAGCACTATTTCCTACCAGATATTTGCAAACCACTTGGTAAAGCTTGAAGCCTCCGCCCCTACTCCCCCGCTCCCCGTAAATACCAGTTCTATGGCATGCAGCAGTGGTAGTGTAACCTACCCAGTAGACAGGGTAGGCAATAAAGTATTTGTCTTCCAAAAAAAAATAAATAAATAAACCAGGTAGCTTGAAATCTATGGTGATAGTATTTATATAAGTATACATGAGAAATCAAAATCAAGGTTTTCTTTCTTTTTTCCAAAAAACTGGTTTAGCAACACATATTGGGATATATACATGCAGCCTTCTACATTAAAGTGACAGGGAAAGCATGTCTGTATAATCTTTTCAATGGATATGACAAAGACATCTTGGTCTTCACATATTCTATAGTTGGGGTTATTATTTCTTCTATAATATCTTCAAACACATTGAATCTCTTCAAATACATTTGATGGGATTCAAACTGAGAAATGTGCAAATGAAAACATGAATCCTTCTCTTAGGTTGTTTCAGTTGAGTAGAAGAGACAAGAGGCTGCTTGGTGAACTGCTACACAGGCCAGACCTTGCTACAGTTTGAGTATGTAACACCCCTGAGCAAAGAGTTCCTTACATTTAAAGAAGAATAATATTATATAGAGATTTGGATATAGCCTGCAAAACCTAAAATATTTACTATTTAATTCTTTTCAGGAAGAGTTTGTTAAGTTCTTACCCAGATAACTAACTATAATTCAAATAAGACTAAGTTTTAAGCAGAATTACAGAGTGAAACTAATTCATATTGCCCATGGAATATCAGTTAAACTTCAATGAGGGATCATTTAAGTTATGCCTTGAAATATCATAACCAGGAAGTAGGTTCCCGCCAGACATCAAACCTTCTGTCACCAAGATTGTGGACTTCCAAGTCCCAAATTATAAGAAATAAAGTCTGTTGTTTGTTAAGACAAAAAAATAAAAATAAAAAAGACCTAGTGCCATAAAACTTTGTACTGGTCTAATAGGATAAATATTGGGGAAAAGGATATAAGGACATAAGGATAAATATTGGGGAAGATGAAGGAGAAGCCACAAAAGGCCTCAAAGGAGATGCAAAAGTTTGTGCTTCATTCTGAAGACAGTGAGTGCAGAGGTTAAGTGATCCAGCTTGTGCTTCAGTTAGATTAATTATCAGCAGTATGAATATACCAAGCTCACAAAAAGTGTAACATTAACTAAAATATGAAGCATGGTAGAAGATGTATATATTAGGGAAGAGACAAAGCACAGTTTTAAACCCAATGTGTATAAGAGATTTATACCATGACCAGACTGTAAGGCTGGATAAATCGTGTTCAGACTGTGGACAGCTTTGGAAGCCTACCTAGGAGCATGGATTTGATGTGCTGGGATTAGGAAGTAGCTGATCATTACTGTAAAGAAAAATGACTTGATGACTATGAGGTTTTAGGAAGATCACATCAGATAAATGAATGATTCAATAGTTGTGATAAGTTATACAGTCATCCAATTGTTGCTAATATTAGGAATTCATTTAATTTTAATTTTGAACTTTTGGGTAATAAGGTAGTTTATATACAGATAAAGTAACATACCTCCAGCTAATATAATACTATCACTGATTCCACTGTATTCTCCAAACCCCACATGATTTGCAGCTACTACTCTGAACTGATATACTCCTTTAAGCCTTTTGGATTTCCATGTGCAAATGCTGCCACAGCTTCCATTAAAGGCCATCTCCCACATTAAGTTCTGGTTCTGTGAATCATTTGAACTGCCCTTTCTGCAAAAAAAAGGAGAAAATCAAAAATATAGAAAATGTGTAAAATGGCCTATGTGTTATTTCTAATGTTCTTGTTATCATTTTAATGACAGAACTCCAGAGCATCTTCTGTTGCACATTTTTCCCGTGGTCTCATTCCTCTTCCATAATTTGGCTACAGAATAGAGCATAATCTTATAAAGTCATCCCAACAATGCATGGAGTCAAACAACTAAGCCAAGCAGGAAAATTACCAATAATCAATGGCCAAGAAAGCTGAAGAATCTCTTCCTGCTTCTATAAGAATATAGAAACTTTCTTCAGCATTCCAAATACATTAGACAATTATGTATTCCATGATTTTTAGTAGGGAAATTTTTTTTAAATGTTCAATCTCCTGTGTCATCTGTAGTTTACTTAGACCATGTCTGGATGACATAGAACATAAAATTGATAAGGAAGGTAGGCTATTTCAGCTATCAAAGTTATTGTACATCTGAGATGTGAAAGCTCATTGTTTCCTTGTGTGATGGCCTCTCACTCAATTCACATAAGTCTCATCTGACACATGGAAAGAGCACAAGCAAATGATGTAACTTAGTGGATTTCAACGGAATCATAGATGGAAGAAGGCAAGCTCAAAAACCTTTCCATTATATCTTCTCTAACAATGAAGAACTTTGCAAGTCTGAAATTTTCAGACTGTGACAGTTTTTGGACTTTACCCACCCACAGTAAGTTTGGGGATATGTGGTGGAAGTCAGTTCTGCTCTACTTAATGATCTTCTTTCTGAAATAGCAACAAGAATAGTGAGGGTTGAGTCTTTGAGGGACAGGAAGTGAGCAAGAACAACAGAAGTATTGGGAAAGCAAAGCTGGTCGTAACTGTTACCAGGAGCTAAGTGTCCAAGGGATTACTGGCAATCACCAGAAGGTGAGAGGCAAAGAATTCTTCTCTTAAAACAGGAGCACAGTCCTGCCAACACCTTGATTTCATACTTCTGGTCCCCAGAATTATGAGTGAATGCATGTCTGTTATGTTAAGCCATGCAGCTGGCAGGGCTTTGCCACAGCAGACTTCAGAAACTAAAAGAATCTGTTCAACTCCCAAGTTCAGGCACTTGACACCACCCACACTGCTGCACCATCAGCAAGGATGCAGGGCAGGGACTATGTGTCCTGACTAAAGTTACTTTGAGATACTGAAAAGTACAAGAATTCATTTTGTTATCCCATAGTCCCTGTTCTAACAGTAGAGACATGGGATAAGGAAATGCAAACTATTTGTGAAGTTATAGACTTAAGGTGCTACTGAGGCCAATACCATGCAGGGGTCTTAGCAAGAATAGTGTGTGTCCTGGATGGTGAGCATAATTGCAGGCAGTTCTTCAGGTCAGGATGAAAAATAGTAACAGAAATTTCAAGAAGGTTTTAGTTAGAAATAAGGTCACTAACATGAGCAGTAAAAAATTTTTAAGGTTCTGGGAATGCCAAAACAAGATGAAACAAAAATAGATCTAATGCTCAAGCTACCAGGACTATAATTATGGAAATGATTTTTGTCATTGGAGCGTCTTAAAAGATGGTTTCATAGTCCTATAAGGGGAGCATCTTTGGAATTTGGAATTCTCTCTTCAAGTTGGCCTGGAATCAGTTTATCTGAGTCATTATCATGAATCACAGCACTCCCCATACTGATTGGATCTGAGATGCATTGTTCATTGAAGGCACATTTTTAGCATTTTTACATACATTGCAAACTGTATATAACAAGGGGATCAGAATCTTAAGTGACCTAACATTTCAGACCTTAACCTTATTTTACATTCTAAAAAAATACCTAGTTCATTGTTTATTAGCAGTAACAGTATTCATCTTGTTAAAACATCTAAAATATACATGGATATCATCATCTAACATCAATCAGCTCAGCTTCTCCAACAGAGCAGACTTTAAGTATATAGTAGTTGCATGTGCCGATGATTGAACAATTTCCATGAAGTTTTAACCCAGTAGTTGCAGATTTCTGGCAAGAATGATACCTTGTAATTGGAGTACCAAGGCAGACCTCTACGACCATAATGACAGACACAAGTTAAGGACCCTTTATGTTTATTTATAAATTAAGGACCCTTTATGTTTATTTATAAATACCCTTTCATAAATATTGTTAAGTTTGGTCTTTTAACACCTTATTATTAACTGCTTAGCACTTACAAAGCCCTTTTGCAAACAGGCATACCTGATCTCAAGGATGTAATATTGAAGTCGGCTTCCATTATCTTCAGCTTTTTCCCACTGTATTGAATTTTTACTACCTTCTAATAATTTTGGAATTCCTGGTTTACTTGGGACTCCAGCTTTAGAAACAAAAGAAAAAGCTGATATGTTAGAAGTATAAAACATTCAGCATAATGTCTTTCTATAGAATATACTACTAAGGTGGGACATCAAATACATGAAAGAACTATCCACAAATATTCTCATATGAGCACATAGTTTTAAAAGAATATCTGAAATCTTCATTCATGATGGATTAGATGGATTAGTAATAGAAGTAACAATATATCTTAGCTTGATACAAAATAAATGTTGTAAATAAAACTGTTGCAAGTTTTACAGCATTTTCCTTTCTTATAGGAGTCAGCTTAAAATTATTGTATACCTTTCAGAATACTAGTTAATTTAATATAATTTTTATTTTTAATATCTGGATTAGAGTAGTAAGTAAATATTTGTTGCACACTCAGTGATACTAATTTTATTTCATTCTCACTGTAAAATATAGCTAGACAGGAAATCAGAAGACTGAAAATGAAGTAATTTCACCCAGTTCAGGATCCAACAAGGCCAGCTCAGTATTATCTCATTACTACCTGTAAGTACTCTTGGTTCTTTTCAATGCCTTCATTCAAACTCTAAAAATAGCAATATACTCTTTAAAAAAAAACTTTCAACCCCTAGGATTAGCAAAATTATTGATGAAAAAATTATCAGGCTTCCTAAAAGTTAGTACTCACCTTTTGTCTTAAAGCTTTCTGGAAATGAGGTGCTATTTTCCCCTGTGGTATAAACCACCACTGCTCGAATATTATAGGAAGCATAAGGCTGCAGATCTGTGATGGTACAGTCATAAGCAGGACCTTGTGTGCATGAAGCTTTAACATGGTAAAACTCGTAATTCCACTAGGAAAAGACATCTCAATTAACATTTTTGTTTCTTTATGAAAATAGAAATCCATAAACCTATAACAAACCATTTAAACTTAAATAAATTTTACTTTCTATAAAAAACTAAGAGCTTTTTTTATGAATGCTCTATCCCTAACACCATCACCACCGCTGACAGCCATTTATTTTTATGAGATGCTATGACTGTCTTGAATGACAGTTCTTAGGATAACCAAAGGTGGGACATATATCTCTGACTCTATATCATCAGGGAAAATTGAAAGTTTGGCTTCTAGCTATCCCTAATTGCAAACACCCATTACTAAAATCAGGTTATGTAAGAAAGTAAATTCACAGCTGAGGGACAATGATGGATTAAAACTGATACTGCTCTAGAGATTAGTCATCTCCCAGGGTCCTCCTTTGCCTGGCTGGTAATATCTGATTCATTTTGGTGTCTGTCTGGGTCTCCAACTTCTCTGTAGTAAAATGAGAGGCTAGATAGTCATCATCATTCAGGTCTTTCTCTATTTCATTTTTCTTACCTAGGAAATAAACTTTACATTCCTTCCCTTAACTTTAAACTGAACTGCATTAAAATTATTTAGCTAGAAGTAAGGGGTTGGGGTGGGGGAAGCTGACTCTCTAATTTCTCTAATTTAATAGCATTTTTATAAGATCATCATTTTTAAAATAGATCACAAATCATTATGAACATGTCCAGTGAAAAAGTCCAGTTAAACTATTGCCTTGTTTTTGTCAACTCAATAATCATATTTTTCATAGTTTGTATCTAAAAAGTATAAGATCATTTTAAAAAGTCCTACATAGTAAAATTTTAAGATGTCCTAGAGAGCAACTTGATTTTTAAATAAAAATGATCATGACTACATTGATTTGTTTTTATGCTACCACTGAACAAAGTTCTCCCAAATAAATTTTACAAATGCAAACACACAAGTATATAATGGTGCAGATGAAATATAGAAATTATAAAGACAATAATCTGTTTGAAGAGCATTAATATAAAAATCAGTGTAGACTTTCCATAGCAGTGAATTAATTAAATTCAGTAGATGTATATTGGTTAAAGTATGAAGATTTTTGGATGAGGAAGAATTTAAAGTTTAAAGTCAAAATCAAACTAGCTTATAAAATGCTGGTTTTATATTTTACTTCTCTCCTGTTACTAAACAGCCCTCAAATGGTTAGAAGAACATTAACATTTCGCTCTCTCTTTTTTTTTTTAAGATTTATTTTATTTATATAAGAGCCAGGGCACAGGCCAGATGCACGGGAGGGTGAGAGGATTCACCAGAGACAGAGCAGGGAACAGAACAGGCAGACTGACTGAAATACACTGCTGAGGGGAGTAGCAGGCGAGGCAAAAGAGAGGTCTGCTCGCCATGTGGTTGCTCCGAGGCCTGCAGAGATTAAACTGGCACTGCAGAGGCCGTGCACAGCTGCACTCAACTGCCTGCGTCACCAGGGAGGCCCCTAAAAGAACATTTCTAATCAAGGTTTTGAGGGGGTTTTTTTTGTTCATTTCTTATACTTTTTGCAATGAAAACATCAAATTGCTATAAACTTTAGAACAAAGAACCATGCCAACAATATCTAAATAAACTAAGTGAAATATTATAAAAATTAGTATACCATGACTCATACTGTTTTACATGAAGCTTGTTAAGAGCAAATTAACTTCTCTTCTTTCAGTTATTAGTCTAGATAGCTTATTGCTTCTATGTGTCAAATCTAGGTTAATGAATGCTATCAAATATATTGTTGATTTATATGGTATTACTCTAAAGATATGAAAAGGCCTTTCAATTTATTCTACATAATAAATAAAGATTTGCATTAAAAAATATACTGTAAGATTCTACCTTCTGGAGTTCAAACCAAAATCTGGTGAGATTAACATTAAATGGTGCCTTCCAGTTTAAATGCACACTAGTGTTCTCTGGAACCAAGGCATAAGGTTTTTCTGGCGTGTCAAACATTTCAGCAGTGACGGGATGACTCTCAGCACACCACATTTCCTCTGAATGGCAGGCCAGAACCTTTTTGTAAAAAAGAACAATCACTTGACCTTTTAGGGAACTTGCCTTGAGAATGACAATAAACTTGTCCTGTATGTTCACTGTACCTTTAATACATACAGTTTTCCACCAGACAGCCCAGGAATAAGGAGAGCAAGCCTTCCATTTGGATATTCACTTTGTCGTAAAGGAGTCTCAGGAATTAGGGCCAGGTGTGAGACTGCCACCTGATAGCGAATTGACTCTTTAGGTCCATTTGGCTTGGGAGATTCTTTCCAGGATATAATGAGACTGGTGTCTGACTGCACAGTTGTGTTAATAAGCCAAACAGCCTCTGGCACTAAGATAAACAACCAGGAATTATAAAGGATGTTACAGCAGCAGTGAAGGATATAAAGAAATAATGGGGTCTTAGTTGAGGAATAATCCTATCCTATGAGTAGAATGGAAGACAGATGTTCTGAAGAAACACCAGCCTCTTACATAATGATTGCTTATCAGGCTGCTGGAAAGAAAGGCTCTTGCTTATATTTGCTTAATGACTAAAGCATTTTCTGATTCTAGTTCCAGGATATGGCTGATAATGATGAATAACCCGACTCAGGTGAGTTTTGAGTATATCATCATAGATATTTGAAATAATGGCATCACCTCATAATAATCAGCACCTCTTAAAACACCTTTTTAGATTTTAGATCCATTTTTAATTTAGGGCAAAGATGTTATATATTAGTTTAAATTTTTGTGGCCAGCAAAACTCATATGATTGGACTTTCCTGCCTCACCACACACACAGAGACCTATGACTATATAGGAAGAGGGTGACACTGGGTGGTGAGACAGAGAATGCATTTCTTGGTCAAACAAAATTACAGTTGTTTTTCATTTTGATGGAATATTATTCATCTTCTCCTGGTATTAGAGCAAGGATCAAGTCATCAGACTATTGTTCTAGAATTATTTTTTCATACTAAGCTTTTAAAAAGCTCATGTAATAAAGATTACTTAGAATTCAGAAAAAAAGCAGAAATAGACATACAAATCATATTTATCACAAGATTCCATTCTACATACCCACACCAAGCCCATAACTCACCTCCACTTTTAGTTTTTCCCCAAATCTCTTTTCCCAGAGGTAACTGTTCCAAAGGATCTGAATAATAATTCTTTACAGCTATCTGTATCACATATGTTGAAAATGGTTGTAAACCTTCAATAAAGGCTATACTCTCCTGAAATTCCTGTAATTTATTAAAAAATAATAAAAATCTGTTCTTATCTTTTATACAAATGGGGAGAAATTATTTAATCAAAGGAAGAAAATAATTAAAAGATTCAAACAAAGGTAATTTATATTTCAGTCTTGGATTATAAGTGATAATATTCACTGCTCTAATCTTCCCAGACCTGAGTTGTTCAATATCTCCCAGAAAAAAACTGTCAAATGATTGGCAGCACCCAGTCAATTTTGTGACATATTCATCTCAGAAAATTAAGTTCCCAGGAGAGGACACTGTTTTGTTAACATTGCATTAGGACTTCAGCCAGATGGTATTTTAAGAATGTGACAAAGAAGTGAATACAACAGATTAAACTATATTATCTAATCATTCTTAGAAATAAAGCAATAACATTTAAGAAAGTAAAAAGACTTTCCTTAGACCGATGGCTTTCAACTTTGCTTTTACTTTGGAGTCATCTGGGAAGTTTAAAGAAAATACTAACCCCAGAGATTCTGATTGAATTGATCGGAGAGCAAGCTTGGGTCCAGAACTAAATTCACACATATGTGAATATAGGGAAACAAAACAGAGGATCAAACCAAAACAAACCCTAGAAATCTGTAAAACTGAGGTTGTCCAGGAGGAGTGGGAGAAGGTGGAAAACAAAGGGAGAGGAGGCTCAGTGGACTATGGGTGCCTTCGTGATGGGTGTGGTGGGGTAACATACATCTGAAGAGTTGTGAGCCTATACCTGTTATTTGCATACAGTATTATAAACCAATGATACCTCAAAAAAAAAAAAGTTCCAATGGGCAGTCAAACTTGCCTTTGACTTAATAAATGTGAATATAATAAGATAAACATAAATGACAGAAATGTTCAATGCTACAAACCCAATCTTGGTCAACAAAATGATCTAGTCAGTCTCTGCAACAATTCCACTTAAAACTGTGTAATAAAAGATTAGAATAGAAAAATAAGGGAACAATAATCAAGTGTACTTTCTGGTAAAGTATATAGTACTTAACGTCCGATAGATGATGGCCAGTTTCACCTTTGATTTGATTAGATAATAAGCACAAAACAAAATATTGGAGATACAGCATTCCATTACAAGGACAACTGAAACATTATGTCAGTGATGGGATAAGTTGTGCTACTTCGTTTAAATATTCAAGAAATATCTAATGAATTCCTAGGTGCCAGGAATACAATGATGAACAAAAACAAGATATAGTCCTGCATACTAGCCCAGTTCACAAAATAAAGGGCTACATCAGGCTGAGCAGCAACTTTTTTGTTACAGTATACTATGAAAGAAGTGTATACATACAGTAATGTTTCATCTGTCCAACTCCTGTCTTACCCCTCAATCTTTTGATACATAAATACAAGTATTATTTTCTGGGGATAATTAGAATCAGGGAGGGCAACAAACTCATTTCTTCCAGGACACTCAGGAAACCATTACCCTCTCAATCCACCAACTGGCCAGAGTTCATATACTTTATTGAAGCTCAACTTACTCCAAGACAAGATGACTAGAACACAATATGGCTTGATGAATCATCAGTAAAAGCTTGCATAATAGCACATTTCAGAATATACTATAGAAAATATTTTACAGTGGCTGAGAGTTTTATATCAACAAAAAAGGGAATTTTGTAAAAAGATAAAAACCACTAGCTCCATTCTTACCAGCATTTCATATTTCAGTTTAGAGCTATTTTTCCTGACATTAACTTCTTTGTAATAAACCAGGTATGTTGGTGTAGGGCTGATGATACCGTGCAACGTCAGCTTCGTCCTGGTGGGTGGTAATTGGATGGTGAGGCTGGTATTAGTAGTGTTAAGTATAGTTGGCTCTGCAATATCTGAAGCTAGAGACAGAAATGCTTTATCTAAAATAATAAAAGAAAAAATTAAGATACACATCTATATATAAGAGAGGAACAGCTGATTTATTTAACATCAAGGATAATATGACTTTTTTTATTTAACTGATATGATATGATATATTGATGAGCTGGAAATGTTACTTAGGACAGGAACACATTTTTTCCATACATATTGAAGATTTATTTTTTAATTTTTTTAAAGATTTATTTATTATGCATACAAGAGCTGGGGTACAGGTCAGAGATGCAGGGGGTGAGAGAATCCACCAGAGGCAGAGTGGGAAACAGAACAGGCAGATTGACTGAAATACACTGCTGAGGGGAGCAGCGGGCAAGACAGGAGAGGTCTGCCTTGCCATGTGTGTTTCTCTCTGGCCAGCCAGGGATCGAACTCGTGCTGCAGAGGCTGTGGATTGATTCATAGTACGGTGCTTAACCCCTTTCGCCACCAGGGAGGCCCCATATTGAAGATTTAAATGCCTCAGAAAAAGAGCTTAGTAACCTGAAATTGCTTAAGATTTCCAATAGATGGAGCTAAAGTATCCTTAACAATGTACCCAGACAAAATGTAGTTAACGCTTTTATTTTGAAGTCAGTGATGACGGCTTTAGTCACGTTTTAAAGGAATTCCAATTAGGAAAACTCATACACCATTAGGATTTGTATTTTTAGAGAGGTGTGTGTGTATGTGTGTGTGTTCAACTCCAAATAGATATTGCATGGACTTTTCTAATCTCTCAAATTTCCCAAAGTAGAAAATGAAAATTATTCTATCAAAATATGCACTCAACTTATTTACATATTCTTCCACTTGTTCATGTTACAACATATTTTTTTTCTTTTTTTTTTCTTTTTAAAGATTTATTTATTTATTTATACAAGCACTGGGCACAGTCAGATGCGCAGGAGGGTGAGAGAATTCACCAGAGCCAGAGCAGGGAGCAGAGCAGGCAGAAGGACCGAAGTACACTGCTGAGGGGAGCAGCGGGCAGCAGGAAAGGTCTGCGCGCCATGTGGACCCTCCTCCTGTGGCCGGGGAGCAGCCGGGGATCGAACTGGGGCCGCAGAGGCCGCGGGCAGCTTCACAACCCAGCGCTCAACCACTGCGCCACCGGGGAGGCCCTGTTACAACATATTTTATAACTGAATACATCTAAGCAAAAAAAAGTGTGTTTCAGTTTTCCTATCTTGGGGGAGAGGAGATTTTATTTAATTTAGAATTCTATTGCACTGTTGTGGCGGAGAAAGCTGGGGAAAAGACTAAGAGACCACTTTTTATCTGAATGTCACACATGAAGTTATGTAATGTTGTACTTGGAGGGAGGTAGTGTTTGGTTGATTTTTGGATTTCAAACTTACTTTTATTACACCTTTCGGTAGAATAAATGTAATCTGTTCTGCCATAATGCAATAACATATTCCTAAAAGACACTACTTTATACATATCATACAATAATCCCCCCAGTTTGTGTGGTTAATGGGGTTAGGAACACAGCACTAAAAACCTCCATTAGTGACATATAAAATATATATATTTTATATATATAGTAATGATACCGGAATTGTCAGGTCTAGTCTCCCAGCCAGGAACGGATCTCAGGCTGCAGGGCAGCGCTGAGCCCCAGCAACTTCAATATATATATTATATATAGTAACTTCATGAAAATAATAGCACAAGTGTGCACATGTTAAATTATTGACATACATAACAGTACAATAAGTAGAATGCTTTACCTTAAAAAATGACCCAGGGCCTCCCTGGTGGCGCAAGGGGTTAAGACGCAACCTATGAAGCTATCTGCAGCCACTGCAGCACAAGTTCGATCCGCAACCAGGGAGCAACTGACAAGGCAAGCAGACCTCTCCTGTCTCGCCCACTGCTCCCCTCAGCAGTGCATTTCAGTCAGTCTGCCTGTTCTGTTCCCCACTGTGTCTCTGGTGAATCCTCTCACCCTCCCACACCTCTGGCCTGTACCCCAGTTCTTGTATTAATAAATAAATAAATCTAGACTATATGTATGCTGTGAGGGACCATGATATGTTTGCATATATGAGATCACATCCGGGGGATTTTCCTGATAAAGATAAGAAAACATACAGTGAAATTCTCGAAGATTTCCATCCCGTGCGTTGACATCTCCAAAATGTTTGCTCTGGTTTCACTGATACCAGTTATTTTTGAATTTTATGGAATATGTTTCTATGACATCTGAAGTTAATGTTCACACTTGTGATTAAAGTGATCATCATGAGCAAAAAAAAAATAAATAAATAAATAAATAAATAAATAAATAAATCTTTAAAAAAAATGACCTGAAGTTTTATGCAATGCTTTTTGACACCACTGGGAAGTCTAAAATACCCTTAGAGGGGAAAAAAGAAGACAAAAAGAAGGGGAATTTTTAGGACTGAGAAAAGAAAGAGGACAGGCAGAAAGAATGATGGGGAAGGACTCCCCTTGTCTAAAGTGGGCTACCCCAGCTGAGTCGTGCATACCAGCAGAGAGAAACTGTGATCCAGGGTAAACAGCAATCACATTGTGCACCATACCTTGGAGCAGTGCTGAAAGCACAAGGAAGAACTTGGAGGAACGATCCTCAAGAAAGGATGAGAAAGGATGAGAAAGGCACAGGGTGAGAATTTTCTGACCATAATCTGGAGAACAAGATGATTAAGCACATGACTTGTTACCTGGAAAAGGCTGCAGTACTGAACTGTAAGCCGAGATACACTTATTCCTCAGGGTCTTAACCTGGGAGAAGATGGCCCCACTGCTTTTCTTTGTTTGATAAATCTGTGTGCTGTCCTTTGCTGTGACCATCCAATATAGAAATTTTCCATCCATAGTTAGGCTAACAAGTGTTTTTCCTGTTGATATAAAGCAAAAAACCTAAAGAACAAAATATGTATCTTCTGTTTACTACTCTAAGCAATACATGAAGTCCTTTTTTTCTCTATCAAAACTCCACATTTTGAATCTATTATTTCTATATGAAAAAAAATAACACTTTCATGTCATATAATTAGGATTTTACAGATAATTTCTTCTTTTACTTCCTTATCAAGCAAAAAAGATAATTGCTACTAATGGAGGCTAAGAGTAGAAAATTTAGAATGGCGGCATCACTAGACCAAAAACTGGAGGTGGAGGTAGAAATGATAAACCTAGTTTTAAACCTGCTATAGAAATGAAAAATCCTTGGACCCCAACTGCTTTAGCAAGTATCAGAATGCTACAGAAAGTACCCAGAGGCACAGATCAAAAGTGGGCATATGGAGATTAAGGGCCATTGTAGAGAATCATCCCGTCCTTACAAATCAACCTAGTCACACCCTAGAAGTAATTAATTTAACAATAGATAGCAATTTCCAAAGGGCTGAACCCCTCCTTGAATGAGGAACACTGTATCTATACAACTTCTGCCCTGACAAGAGGCAGCTCTCCTGAGGATCTTTGACTATGCAGGAATTTTTTTCACAAATCTTTTACCTTTACAAAGCAGCAGCAGCAGCTATTCCTGCTCTCTAGTCTGGGCAAACATCCTTTACTTCCCTCCTCTTTTTATAATAAACCTGGCCTTTTGGATATAACTACACATCTCTGCTTCGTGGAGAAATTTGCTGTGTGCTGCTGAAAGGGGAACTCTGGTGAAGCTTTCCTCAGAGGTAACCCAAGGACCCAACTCACCAAACCCAGCACCTCATCATAACGACATTACTAGTATTTATTTAGAAGTGGCAACTGAGGCTTGGATGAGTTAAATGGTTTTCTCAAATTTCATAAAGAACAAAGTCAGGATTTGCAAGTAACCTGTGTAACTTTACATCAACCATCTAAAGATGTTGGGGGGCAAAGGATGTCCTGAACAAACTCCAGAGACACAGGTTTTAAGGACTCTGCCCCCACCCCAGACCAAGGAGATCCAGACACCAAGGACGACAAAACCCATAATGTCATCACCACTGAAAGGGAGAATTGCTGGAAACTAAGAGTGGAGTTAAGCAGCCAAGTTTGTTATATAACCAGACATGGAGCCTTGGGGGTGCTTGGTTTTTCTCAGGCCTTCAGCGTGCAATTGGGGTCCCAGCTTAGTGGAACTGGTAGGAGGCATTCATCAATTTCTCTCTTTCTCTTTCTCCCTGAGTTATTCCTCTCTTCATTTCTCCTTTTTATAAAGAATCCTTTTATTAACCTTTTTGTGTGTGCCTGTAGTTGAGTCTCATTTTAAGTCCCCTTTTTTTTATAGACCCATCCCCATGAGAATAACAACCATTTTCCATGGAGGGATGGGGAGAAGACTCTGGTAATTATTTTTTAATGATTCTTTTTTTTTTTTTAATAGAGGCATGTTTATTTATTTGTTTGTTTGTTTGTTTGTTTTTTGTTTATACATGCACTGGGTAAAGTCAGAAGCGCGGGAGGGTGAGAGAATTCACCAGAGCCAGAGCGGGGAGCAGAGCAGGCAGAAGGACCGAAGTACACTGCTGAGGGGAGCAGCGGGCAGGTCAGGAGAGGTCTGCGCACCATGTGGGACCCTCCTCCGGTGGCCGGGGAGCAGCCGGGGATCGAACCAGCGTCGCAGAGGCTGCGGGCAGCTTTGCAACCCAGCGCTCAACCACTGCGCCACCGGGGAGGCCCTCTGGTAATTATTTTTAAAAAGTTAATATTCAGAATTGTCAAACAGATTTTTTAATAACTTTTTTTTTAATAAATAGATATCCAGGCAAGGCTGTTTTATTAAAATTTCTTCTATGTTATCTTTAAAGTAAATTTATTTACTTTAAAGTAAATAATGGCCCATGAGATCATTCTTGTGTATCAGATGTTAAAGGAAAATTATTCAGATTTGTTTAAATGGTAAGGAAGACTTGATAGTCAAGTCTCTTGCAATGAGGGAGAGAGATGTGTTCAATTCTGAACACAACAAAGACAGAAGGGGATATGGAGTCAATAAGTAATATAAGGATGTCAGTGTGTGGAAAATTACTAAGAGGAGACTTCAAAGGTAGAGGAGATTCTTGTTAAACTGGCCCAATAGGATTCTTGCTAAAGCCAAGAATGTTAAGGGTAGAGGATGAAGAAATTGATCCAACATCAGTGGTGGAGGATTGTCTCCAAACTATGTTAGTGGGATTCTTTTTTTTTTTTTTTTAAGATTTATTTATTTATTTATACAAGAACCAGGGTACTGTCCAGATTTGTGGGAGGGTAAGGAGATTCACCACAGACAGAGTGGGGAACAGAACAGGCAGAATGACTGAAATACACTGCTGAGGGTAGCAGCGGACGAGACAGGAGAGGTCTGCCACATCATGTGGGATTCTCACCAGCTGGCCGGTATCGAACCCTCACTGCAGAGGATGTGGACAGCTTCACAGTGCTGCACTCAACTGCCTGCACCACCAGGGGAGGCCCTGTTAGTGGGATTCTTACCAAAACTGGACTCAGTAAAGATGGATACTGAAGTCCAAGATGGAGGCCTAGTTGAGAAGTGGACTCAGAGGAGCCTCATTAGAATCTGATCAGGTAAACAGTCTTTGTCATGGATTGAACAGAAACAAGTAACTTTCCTAGTAAGAGAAGTTCAAAACATTATCTGTACTTAGAGCTACTGAGAGTATATTAGAATTGTTTCTCAAAGACTGGATTATAAGTCAACAAAATCTTATGTGCAGTTATAGCACAAACACATACACATACATTCACACATGTATATTTGCAATTTCAAAACTGCGCTGTATAGACAAGCAAAGCCCAATGGCACTCTTGATGATGTAAATATTCTGTACCTATGCCTCCTAATACAGTTTGCATCAGCTATTTAAGTAGCTTTGAGCACTTAAAATGTGACTAGTGTGACTGTGAAATTAATTTTTGATCTTAATTTAAACTTAAATCACCACATGGCACTACCAGTTACCATATTGGGCAGTGAGGGTATTTAGAGTATATTTTTTGTTAGTGCAATTATTCCTTATTAGAAGACTTCCAAAGTACTTTAGAATTTCAAATATTTACTCCACAAGAATGTAAATTTCAATAGACCTATAAAGTATTGACTATCTTAGGCTGAATGTAGGTTTAAAGGGATCATCAAAATGGATGTCAAGCAGGGCATTGGTAGGAAGGTCATAGCTGTGGCAATGGACCCAGTTATAAATCTCAGCTCAGATTGTAGCTCTCTAGACAAGTTACCTTACATTTCTCAACCTTAGTTTCCTCATATGTAAGATGAAGATACTACTACCTACTTCATCTGGGTAAATATTAAATGAGATAATGCAATTAGTAGCATACTTAGAATATATAGTTAAGTTCAATAAGTTTTCTGTTAATTATAAAATAACAATAGCAAAAAAAAAACAAAACCCTCACCAATTCAGAAAATTATGTGAATGTCTCTATATAATTTGCCTATAAACAACTTGAATTCTGCAAGGACATTTGGCATGGTCCAGGGAAAATATCATGTGTATATTCTTTTGAGTATATGTAGAATGTAAGCCTTTTTCAATAGGATAGGAGGGGGTCACCATTACTAATAAAGGTCTATGTGCATACGTGCATGTCTTACCATGCAAAGCAGGCACCATGATAACCTGCTGACATTGACATCCTTCCAGATCCATGGCCCAAATCTCTTGTCCTTTGACAAAGTATATCTGTGGCTTCTTTAGGTCAGAAGTATCAATGGTCATCACTCCATTTAACTCAAATTCAGTCACATTGCAAGAACATTGGCTCCTTCCATCCGAATGGTTTGTGGGTGTGTGTTGCAGAATGTGGTGCAAGGTCTGGTTGATTATACTGTAGTAGAACATCTGAGAGCCAAAACTAGAAACTTCTGTCCAATACAGGCGACTACAGGGGGAAAAAAGAGCTTCCAACTTAATGAGTAAAATATATCATTGCAAAGACCAGTTTCCAATGAAGGGGCAAATGTTATCCTCAGAGAGAACACGTCCTAATGTCCAATTTCAGAACTTTCTTCTGAGATGGAGGAAGTTAAAAGAAGTCTAGTTTATATTATTTTCCAATGACTTCTCAATAAATGTATTTATACAGTTGATGCTCTTAAAATCTCAAAGTAATATAACTACATTGTAAAGCACACAACCAAACAGGCTATTCTCATATCGTAGGACTTCTCAGAGGAAAGTCAATTAAGAGTCTGTTGCATCTAATTCCATAAGTATTCTAGCCATAAAAACATCCTATTTTGTAATGGAATCTATATTTCTGATTTGCTGGGTTTCTTGCTTCTTTGTTTGCTTGCTTTTGGTTGAAGTCAATCTTTCTGGCAAAATTGCAATATATGGTGGACATATTTTTAGAAAAGCAAATAAATTTCATTTTGAATCTGTTAAATAGAATAATAAACGTGTTTAAAACTAAATTCTTGGACCATAGTAACCCAAGGAGCTATATTAAATGGCTCATCAAGTTTGTAAATATGAAATATATTTGCATAGGCTTCATCAACACCCCTCTCCATTCCCCATCTCTCAAGTTTATTTCAGGTCATACTATCTAACAATCTGTTCCAAAACAGATGCTAAAAAACCGTATTTCTAGCACAAAATAGATCTTTCCATTCAGAGAAACTGCTATTCAGTTGCTAAATGGAGGCCTTAAAATTCATGAGACAGTTATTAAACTAAGACAGATGAGCCCAGAATACCTTTTTCTGTGCCAGACATGCTACCCACCTGTCTCCTATTCATCAGCTGCTACTTTCTCAGTCTCCCTTTTGAACTCACCAACTGATGATATTATTAAATTTACTGGTATAAAATCTGCTTTGGTTGTCTAGTGGTAATTAGCCTAACTTCAGGTTAGTTGAATTGTCAACATGGATTAGGTTTACATATTTAGAGTGTGGGCTCATAAATTGAATATAGAATTTTTTATTTTTAGTGAATATGGTGAGCCAAGAAGACTGAGAATCCTATTTTCCCATCTTTGACTCTAATATGAAGCCAAAGATATTACACTACATTGAATTTGTCTATTTTATTACAAAAAGAAATAAATATACTTCACATACCTTAAAAAAGGATATACAAAAAAGGAGATTATTGTTGAATTTCTGTTGCAAAATTTCAGCTTCCTGGGGTATTTTACCTTTTGTTCAAGATCAACATCAAATATCTGCATTCCATTTTGTGATTCTTTCATTACAAAGTAGAGATGCCTTGAAATCCAGTCAATTGTAATAATAGTGATATCAACAACTCGTGCATCTTGGAAAATCTTAACAATAGGTAGAAAACACAGCAAAGATAGGATCTTTTTTTCAAGTTTGAGAAATTTTCTAAATCACTCATATTATTTATTGACTATACTTCTCTTTTGTCCACTGTCTTTTATACTTTCTTACTTTGATACACTTCTCAATAACTCTGGATTGTACACGCATTATAATATTTGCCCTCTTCTCACATTGGATATTTCATCTGGTTAATTTGTTAATTGTTAATTTCATCTAGTTTCATTGTTTCAATTATAATTGATAGACCAGTGCTACCCAATTCACTCCTTACCTCACTGCCTTTCATTCCTGTCTAGATTTCTGTGATAGCTGCTAATCGTCTCACACTTAACCTACTCTAGTCATTATTTACTCTGCTAACAGAGGTGTTTCTAAAATACCATTACCAAGTATTTCCCTGCTTTTGCTCTTGCTACTCCCTCAGCTTTTACCCACCTTCACCTGGCTCATCTTACTTTGTACCCAAGATGTCCTTCCATGCTGCCACCAATACCACATCCATCCCAGATTAGGCATCCATTCTCTGTGATCCCATGCCTCCTGCCCTGAAAATAGCATTTATACTGTCTTCTCTTTTCTCTAATAGTTGACATTCATGAATGTCTTCCACATGCCAAGTATTGTGCTAAGCTCTTTAGAAGGATTATCTCACTTAATCTTCTTCACGAGATGTATATAAGGTACTATAGAGCCATCACGATTAAATAACTTGCTGAAGTTCACAGAACTAACAAATGGTCAAGCTAGAATTACATACTAGGTTGTCAGACAGCAAAGTTCATCCATTTAAAAACTGCAATACTGTCTTCATAGTGTTAGATGAATACTAGGCTGATTCATTAGCTTTATCTAGATCTAACGCAGTGACTTAAAGTCAATAACTGTTTGCTAAATTAATCCTGAATGACATTTGCCCAAAACTTAATCTGAATTCATGTATGTCTAAATAATTATACAGTATCTGTCTTTTTCAACATTCTAATCTTAATGGTTCAGCCACTAAACAATCATTTTAATTAGAAGTTACTATGAGATACAAATGCTCCACTTCCTTCCTTTCAAAAGAATTACATAGCAAAGTACCTCAGAGCTAGATTGATTGTGCATGTTCAGAGTGTAGAGAGAGTTTCCTTGAGTGTAATACACCATTGCGTTATCTGCTGTGTAACCAATGGCACTGATTTCCCTTTCTGCTGAGAAAGTCCACACAATTTTATTTTGATCCATATCTAACAGAACTATCATGTTGCCAGACAGAGCCATGAGGTATGGAAATGGATTGATTTCTACAAATAAAAAAACAAGGAGTTAATATGTATGAGAAAAATATCTTTAGTTCAGCAAAATTCCTTGGATTCAATATCAGACCATTTTTTTTAATGTTTTATTTTTGTTTTCAGACCTTTTTTTTAAAACCTTAGATGCATCTCTCAGTTCATGTAGCACATCAGTCTCAACTGAGACTGCAGGCACTGTAAGCCCTGGTGTGTTTAGGCATGTTTAGTAGTGATAAGAATTAATTAATTTATTTAATTTCAAATTCAGTTCAAATACAGCACTCAAATCCCTAAAAATAACAAGGATCAAATGTTTTTAAGACACTACTGTTATTTGCGCTGATTTTAAATAATAAATACCTGATGTTCTGGCCTTTGCTATGTCAGAAAATGGTCCTGACCCTTTGGATGTGAAAACTCTAACCTAAAGAAAGAAAAAGAAAAAGAAATTGCATGTAACGATACACTCAGTGACCATAATTAAGCTCTAAAAGTAATAAATCATTGAGCATTGCACGTCACATTTCTGATACACATTATTAAGAGTTAAAAAAAACATTTACATTGAAGTGCATAGCAATAAAACAAATAGGAAAAATATTGCCTCATACTCATGATGGAGGGGTTGTGGAAAAAATACAAAGAAATGACATAAATTTCTGCTGCAAAAAAAAATGAAATTTCTGAAAAGTCTTTGGTTATTTCCAAAATTATGTTTCAGAGAAGATTTAACAGAAGCAAAACTGCTAGATGAATTTGGTTGATGTCCACTTACCTTGAGATCAAGAACTAGAAGCCTCAAATAACTAATTTACTGTACTTTTTAATAAGTACATTTATTTTTTAAAATAACAATTAAGGCTTATATTTGGAAACAAATGGTGCATTTTATTTTTTTTTAAAGCAAGTTTTTTTTCTTAAGATTTATTTATTTATACAAGCACAGGGTACAGTCAGAAGTGTGGGAGGGTGAGAGAATTCACCAGAGCCAGAGCGGGGAACAGAACAGGCAAACTGAAGAAGTACACTGCTAGGGGAGCAGGGGCAGCAGGAGAGGTCTGCGTGCCATGTGGGACCCTCGCCTGGTGGCCGGGGTTCGAACCAGCACTGCAGAGGCTGCAGAGGCTGCAGAGGCTACAGAGGCTACAGAGGCTGCGGGCAGCTTCGCAACCCAGTGCTCAACCGCTGTGCCAGCGGGGAGGCCCAAAAAATGGTGCATTTTAAACCTTTACATACATTGTCTCTTTTGATCCTCACAACTACTGAGAGTCGAAATTGGACAAGGATCATAAATAAGGTAACTCATCTGCAATAACACATGCAGAAACTGTCATAAGAACCAAGTCTTCTGGAGTCTGCATACTTTTCTTCCCATTGTGCCACACTGTAAATAACAGCAATGGATTTGTAAAACAATTTTTATTGGATGTCTTTTGTAATGTAGTAAATCATTTCCATTTCCAAACCTTGCATATGTACAAAAGTCTATAAAGAAAACTGACATCCTTAATTATAGCCTCAAAATATTGATCCTTCAGTATCCTCTCAATAAAATATTGGATTATTTTTATTATGCTTCTATGTATAGTATAGTAATTATGTATATTTACATAATTATATTATTGTAATTATGTATAATATTAAATATACTTTACTATATACTGTATATTACTATCCTGTGTTTTATACATATGAGATGTATACTCATGAGATGTATATCTCATGTATATAATATACACATACATAGATGGTATATAATATTAATATTATACACACATATCAAGCAGTCTTCTCTTCGTATGTAAGTGAAATTCATACACACCCATGCATATTCCTTTACATAGTTCTGTGATGACTACAATTTAAACAATATATACATAGAGACACAGATAACTCTTAACAAATAAGAATGTGTTATTATAATTGCTGATCATGTCAGTTCTACCACCACATTACTTTTCACAATCCACTCTACTTTTTTAGTTAACATTGCCTCAAGAAATAAAACTATAAAATAATGAAAATATAAGAATGTGTACATCATTAATTTTTATGTATAGCTGTTTTTATTGGTATATGTAGACCTAACAAAGTATCAAAATTATTACTAAGTTAGATTTTTAGAAATAGAAAAAGAAAAAAATCCTGAGGAAACTCAAATCTCTAAAACACCATGTTTCCTAAGAAATGGAAAATAATTCTATATATGTACAATATTGTCACCATTCTGAGAATGAATGAAGATATAAAAGTCATCAAGTGATTTATCAGAAATGGAAAAACTATTTCATATGAAATTTAAAATTTAAAAATGTTAGGATGGGTGACAGTAGCTCTTTTTCTTAACTATAGACCATGTACCAGACAGGAAATTTTATATTCAGTATTTCATTCCATGTTCCTACTGTCCGATGACAAAGATACACCCCTGGATGTATCTGTCAATTACTAAAGCTACATGGCTAGAATGTGACGTACTTTTTTTTAAATTGAGATATAGGGGCCTCCCTGGTGGCTCAAGGGGTTAAGCGCCGCACTATGAAGCAATCTGAAGACTCTGCAGCATGAGTTCGATCCCCAGCCGGTCAGGGAGCAATCCACATGGCACAGCAGATCTCTCCTGTCTCACCCACTGCTCCCCTCAGTAGTGTATGTCACTCGGTCTGCCTGTTCTGTTCCCCACTGTCTCTGGTAAATCCTCTCACACCCCACATCTCTGGTCTGTACCCCAGCTCTTGTATGCATAAATAAATAAATCTTTAAAAAAATAAAATTGAGATATAATGGACACATATTAATTTTAGGTATACAGCACAATGATTCTATATTTGTATTGCAAATTGATCACTACATTAATTCTAGTTGCCTTTTATCACCATACATAGTTACAATTTTTTTCCATGTGATGAAAACTTTCAAGCTCTACTTTCTTAGTACCTTTCAAAACACAATACAGTAACATCAACTATAGACCCCATGCAGTACATTAAATCCCCATGACTATTTTATAATTGGAATTCTCTATATTTTGCCTTCACCCATTTCATCTGCCCCCATGCCCAACTTCTAGCAGGCAATCTGCTCTCTATATTCATAACTCAGGTTTTTATTTTTGTTTTAGGTTACACATACATAAGTGAGATCAGACTTTATTTGCCTATCTCTGTCTGACGTATTTCACTTAGCATAATGAACTCAGAGTCCACCCAGATTTTTGTAAGTGACAAGATTTCATTTTTTTTATAGTTCAAAATAATATGCCATTATATATACTACATTTTCCTCATTCATTAATCCATGGATGGACACTTGGGTTGTTGCTTTTTTCCCTTAACACATTGTCTGTGGTTTCCTCTTCAATTAGCAACTAGGTAATAACTGGAGGCATCACTTGTACAGACATCAGGTTTTATTTGCATTCGTAGTCCCAAACTGGGGGGTAGAGATGATTTATGGCTACAACATGATAATGTGGGAAGGACTTTAGAAGTTGGGCTTTAGCACATCTTGTCATAGCCATGCAGCTTTAGTAAGCGACTGATACACCCAGGGGTGTGTCTTTGCCATCAGACATTAGGAGGATTAAATGAAATAACAAATATAAAAGTACCTGCCCATTACATGGCCTATAGTTTATGATGTTGAAAAATAATGGTTTACATTGAATTTGAAGTTACGCTGAGTACAAGAAAGTTGTCAAGATGTCCTTTACTTTTGTTATCTCTTCTCTCTCCATATCATTGCTGCCCAATTGGCCTCTGTGATCATATAACTGAAATTACTGACAGAATGGCAAAATCCCACCCTCAATTAGCCTTCTATTCAGACTATTAAAAGCCTTATCCCTCTCATACCTGGAAGGCAACAGTGTACCCAGGGCTCATGCCCTCTAGTTGAAAAGACATCACTGAGGGGGCGGCACTGACAGCAATCCAGTCTTCTAATGTTTTTTTTGTTTCACTTTGGTTGGAAATTTGATAGAAAATTTCAAATTTTGTTAACACTCCATTTTCATGCTTAGGCTTACTCCATCTAAATTCCACCACAACTTCCTTCTTGTTGCTGTATTTTCCACTAGGTAATACAAATATTCTGGGATTCTCTGGTGCTGATGGAACTGAAAAGCAGAGACATAAATAATGCAGAAAAGATAAGGTTGACTTTTACCACTCCTGATGAGGGTGTAGATCACCTTAGTAATAAATATTTATCATTCCAGACAGTGGAGGTCTATCTATCTCATTCTTTTTAAAAAAAAAATTTATCTATACATACAAAAACTGGGGTACAGGAGCAGTGGTGTGGGGGGTGAGAGGGTTTACCAGAGCCAGAGTGGGGAGCAGAACAGGCAGACTGACTGAAACACACTGCTGAAGGGAGCAATGGGTGAGACGAGGTCTACTGCACCATGTGGGTAGCTCCCTGGCTGGCCATGGATGGAACTTGAGCTACAGAGGCTGCAGACAGCTTCACAGCGCTGTGCTTAACCCCTTGTGGCACCAGGGAGGCCCTCTATCTCATTCTTAAAGACCTTCAGGAGAGAAGACTTGATAGATTTCTTTAGGGAGTTAGACTGGTATTTCAGCAAATCTTCCTTGTCTCCAACCCCAAACCCTTTTACTACCACTTATATACATCTTTCTTTTCTTTGCCCTGTACAGTCAGATGGTGACTGATTTTCCTTATAAAACGCAATGTTTGTTCTCATCCTAGCAATGATTTACCCAGTGGTGGAAATGGCAGCAACCAGGAAGGCAGGCAGTGACTCCATCCATCATGGCTAGGACGTAACGTTCAGGATGTAAAATATGCCCCTCTCACCTTGAACACCCCTCCGAGGAGAGAGAAACTATCCCAGGAATATGGCTTGGAGGCCCCATTTTTTTCTATGGCCAAACCAAGAAATGCAGTCTCTCTCTGTCTTCTAATCAGTTTCTTCTTTCTCAATCAAGAGAAATTTCTTTGCCCAATTTCCAAGAACCTCCATCCTAGATGCCTCTCTTCTTCCTCAGGGTTCCTCCATATGCCCCATTCCCACTGCCCCATTCCCATAGCACTGCTTCTTAATGTTCAGCACTAACATTGTTATCCAACCTCCACACCCTCTTACACTGTATTCACATGGGAGACCTCTTTGCTTCACGCTTCAGGGCCCAACTCAAGTTTCCATGCCCCAAAGGCCTTCCAGGCCACACCAATCCCTGAGCATCACCTTTCATAAGAACACTGCGGTAGCTTGATCTAGGTGAAGGTTTCATAGTCATGTCTGTTCACTCTATGCTATCCTACTCAGTCATCTCTATCTTATTTCTGTTATGTGCAGCACAAAAAAAAAGGCAATAGTAGATGGACACCACTGTTGACTGAGTCTCTTACTCCCTACCAGGTCTTATGCTAGGAAGTTTATATAAATTAAATCAATGATACTATTATTTGCCAACATTTTAAGAAATGACTGAATGGGTCAAGTCTCCGTCCTGTCACTTATTAATTATTTTATAGTGGGCAACTACTGGGCTTCTGTTTTCTGATTGCATACCTGAAATAATCACCCCTGTCCTATCTACCTCAGATCTGCGTGAAGGTCAAATGAAGGTCAAATGAAGTGATAAAATGATGTTTCTGACACATGATAGGAATAAATGAAAGTTTAATAAAGGAATGATACATATGAATGTGCTTTGCGCACTTTAAATATATATAAAGACACAACTAGCATCCTCTTAAAAATAAGTATATTCCAAAGAAAAACATTAATTTTAAACATCAGTTATTCACTTAGGAAGCACTGGGAGCTAGCCTCAGTAAAAACATTTTCCAATAAGTCATCCTTCCAAGAAACTATCTTTGTTCTTAAATATCTATTTTCTTTATGAAGCATTTCACAAATTACCTGAAACATCTTTCCACATCTTTTATTTCATAACAATCAAGTGAAACTGTCTTTAAGACATCTTTGAACTATTCTTTTGGAATAAATTATGTAAATTTATTTTAATGATGCAATTCTAATCCCCAAAAAATTATTGAAAGGATATCGAATACAGACACATCTACAAAACTGAAAGTTCTTTAAAAATATTAACTCTCCATTCTAAGAGGATAGAAAACATTTTTTTAAAGACCTATTAACCCCTGTACCTGTTTCAGGTGCTCGAAGTGATAAAGACGTTTTGGGGCCCTTTCCCCAGTAGGTATAAGGAGTGACAGAAAGATTAAAGGAGGCATAGGGCTCCAGTCCTTCCACAGTAAATACAGGTAAAGGCTGGTGTTCACTAGCCAGGAACTAAAATAGAAACACAAAGCATTTTCTTGGGGAGAGAATCATAAAATCATTTATGCGTAATTAAAATCTCCAAACATTTGACATGTAAAGTCAAAATTTGAATTTTGCAAATGTTAATGTTGTTAAGTTAGGCTTTTTACCACAAAGACCAGTTAAAATGTATCTAATACAGCAGTTGCTAACAGTAACCATAAGGTAGCCCCAGTCCAGCCCTAGACAAGATCCTCAGGAGTAATCTTTTTTTTTAAAGATTTATTTATTTATTTTTATTTTATTTTTTTATTTATACAAGCACTGGGTACAGTCAGAAGCGTGGGAGGGTGAGAGAATTCACCAGAGCCAGAGTAGGGAGCAGAGCAGGCAGAAGTACACTGCTGAGGGGAGCAGCGGGCGGCAAGAGAGGTCTGCGTGCCATGTGGGACCCTCCTCTGGTGTCTGGTGAGCAGCCGGGGATCGAACCAGAGTTGCAGAGGCTGCAGGCAGCTTCGTAATCCAGTGCTCAACCGCTGCGCCACCAGAGGAGGCCCTCCTCAGGAGTAATCTTACAACCACATGCTAGAGGAACAACAAAGGAGATGAGGTTGGCCAGGGAAAGGAAGGCCAAGTCAATGGGACAAGGCTCACATAAGTGGTATAGCCTGCTTTAGAATGGAAGTTACAAGAACCAATGCCATACCTTAGAATGAGCACTAAATTCCACACTGTAGAAAATTACACCCCAATCTACTTCCGGGGCAGCATTCCACAGGATTTGAAAACTTGAAGCATTTCCTTCGATCCTAAATGAAGACTCTTGAACAGATTCTGGGATAACTTTAGGGGTAGAGGAAAAGTTCCCTATGAAAGAAAGAAAGAATAGAGGGAGAATTTAGGATTATCAATAATCATGGAAAATTAATAGAAACAGCTAATCATCAGGAGTCAAACAAAATTTTCCTTTCCTTTAATATATCCTGAAAATCTTTTTTTGATTATTTCAGGCTTTATGTTTGGGTTAAGCTTAATATGAGCACAAGATAAACAACAGAAACTACTAAGAGCTTTTTCTCTTAAAACATAATTTTTAAGGGGAAAGTGCCAACTCAAACATTTATTTAACAGAAAGTGCAGGGGGTCAGGGGAAAGAGCATGCAGGCATAAGATAGTTTGTACCTGGTAGAGGCTTAAGCGATGTCTGGATAATTGTGAACTGATTAAATTTGGCTGGTTCCAAAATAGAGACACTAGTTCTCTGACTGATTTCTTGGGCTGTGATAATCCTAAAGCCATTGATCCAGAAAAGCCGACCACTGTAGTACATCAGTGCATTCTGGGAAATTTCAGAAGTGCTCCAGGCTGCAAATTCTGTGATGATGGGATCACCAGCACTGTTAAAACATGACACCAATTAGTGTGCATTTGGAGTGAAGAAAGAGCTAGTGTAGTGCATGCAAGTAATGAAGAGAATACATCTTTGTGAATGTATGTTCTTGTGTATATGAAAACAAAGAGAAAATATTTTGCAACAATAATTGTTATTATTCTTAGTTCCATATTATGTTTTTTATTTACATTTTTCTGAAAGTATGCCTAAAGCAAATTATATAGGGGCTTTTCTTATTAATGTGGTATTGCAATAAAGAGAGTATTACAAAAGTTTTAAAAAATAGTTGTTTTTTGCTAATACCCTACTTTAAAAGCACAATCTGAATTCATTAATTCATCAATAATCATATCAAAGCTTGAACTTATTCCATAATCTCTACATTGCTTGCATTAGCAGAACACAGAAGGCTATAATTTAAGGGCAGGGATGGGGAGGAGTTACTGGGAAGGACACCAGAAAATTTCTGTGACAATGGATATATCTATGTCTTCAAATGCATTTGTCAAAACTGATAGAATAGTATATCATGTGTATTACACCTAATTTTAATATGTAAAAGTATAAAAAACTGTGCAGGAAAAAATATCTAATGCTAATATGGAAGATGTAGAGCTGCTAACAAGAGAAGGACAGGAGGTTTAGTTTGAAGATACAGTTTCAGAAGATAATTCATGTGGTCCTTTTCTACTCTCCAGTTTTCATTTGTGACATGTAGGATGATTTCTGCCTTGCCTCCATAATGTACACTCTACTTTCTTAAGAAATGGAAAGACCCTTCACCCTCTTCCTGATCTCTTAAGAAGCATTCTTTCTTTTCATGTATGTATTTATTTTTAATTGAGGTGATATGAGGATACCCCCACCATAGTGCACCCACCACCAAGAAGTTTTTTTATTAGGGTTTCCACTGTACTCTATACTTCATCATAGTATTCACCATATTCTACTATAATTAGTTGCTCACAAATTTATCTTTCCTCACAAATACAATGCATGCCACAAAATGGATAATTAATATATTTACTAAAAGAATAAATGAACTTTCATGCAAAATCATTTGTAACTGAATATCAAGTCATTCTCTTATTCCCAACGGACTGGCTTCAGGGAATATTACTTACCTTTGCCCTCGAAGAACTGCTGTGTACAGATGAATACATTGACTATCTTGAACCAACCAATACAGGAGCCCATCACTGAGATCTAAAGTTAGAGCAATTACCTAAATAGAAAATATAGTATGAAAACAAATCAAATACATATTTGAAGTATACCTTTGTGAACAAGTCACACTCAAGCTATAGAGTTCTCCTTAATGGCCTCTTTGGAATAATACTTTTAGTTATTTTTATCTTTCACTGAATATAAAAATTATGTGATTATGCATAACATGCTGTCTTTAGGTCTATACACTGATTTCCTAAGAATTTCCAAAAGGCAAGGACTATTTGCTATTCGCCACTATATGCTTAGCTCTATGGTTCTCAAAATTTGATTCAAGGATCAGTAGCATCCCCATCATCTGGGAACTTGCTATAAATACAAATTCTCAACCACACTCCAGGTCTTACTGAATCAAGAACAAGTGTTCCAGAGAGGGATCTCCATAAAAAGGAGAGGTTCCATGTTCCTTGGCCCCACCTAATGAAGAGTAGAGCTGAGTGGTGAGGGTAAGCTAGAGAGGGCTTAGAATACTGAGAAGAGATGTCTTCAAGGAGACACGTGGGAGACATGTGAAGTCCTGCTTGTTTCTCAGCTTTAGACTTGCACCAGGGACTTGGGGGCCATGGAAGGAGACACATGGAAGGGAGACATATAAAGACACTTGGAAGGGATGTGGGTGAGAGACACCTGGGGAGGCTGACAATGCAAACCTTTATCTTGCTTACTGGTTTCTTCTGCCCCTTTCCTATGGTTCCCTGCCAGTAGGTACCTTACACTGATGGCAAGCTTTGGAGTTCAGCAGACCCACTTCAGACCAACCTTGTTTGACTGCACATTTACACACAAGGGGATGGGCAACTTTGAGTGTTTCATTAGGAAACTATTACCATTTATTATTATTTTTTTTTTAATACAAGCACTGGGTACAGTCAGAAGAGCAGGAGGGTAAGAGAATTCACCAGAGCCAGAGCGGGGAACAGAACAGGCAGAATGACGAAGAACACTGCTGAGGGGAGCAGCAGGCGTGGCAGGAGAAGTCTGCGCACCATGGGGGACCCTTGCTGGTGGCCGGGGATTGAACCTGCACTGCAGAGGCTGCGGGCAGCTTCACAGCCCAGCCCTCAACCTCTGGGCCACCAGGGGAGGCCCTATTACCATTTCTTTTCTTCTGTCTCTGGGCAAACTATTCAGTTAAAGTTCTTACACGCTATGAATATGCTTTGTCTTTCATGTGGTGGATGGCAGAACCCCATCAGAGTGTGTAGATTTGGGAGTCTCTGGATGTCTCTCAGTCTGCCACTAACACTTTGAGGCACTGTGTTAACTATGACCATAACTCTGAACTCTTCAGCCACGTAAATCTATCAGCTTCAATATTGCTCAAATTGGTTGTTCTCAAACATTGCTGCACATTAGAGTCACCTATGGGTTTTTTTCACATTTCACATTTTCAACTGCCAGAATGCATCCTATTAAATTTTGTTCTCTAGTGTGTCTTTTAATTCCCTAAATCATTCTAAGGTGCAGCCAAGTTCAAGAACCAATGTTTTAAATTATTTCAAATTGTATTTTCTGCTAATTACAACTAAAACATTCTGATACACTTGAAAAATGCAATATACACAGGATTTTAAGTGTTATACTTGGATAGAATCATCTGCATATAAAGTTCTATTTCCAGCTGACACCTGAAAATGATTTGTTACTCTTAGTTGTCCTCCTGATACAATCCATGTCATAATTTTATCCAGTTGTCTAGGCAAGACCTGAGGAAAGACTGTTCTCCTATAAACAGAGTGCATGAAATAGAATTTATGATCCAAGGGATCTTTTTACTTTCTTTAGCTTTATTGGTATTTTTTGAATAAGCTGAGATTGGCAGGACTCCGACTTGACCATAGCGCAGTGGCATAGAGGCTGCAGGGTATCAGGTAGCATTAAAGGATTACCTCTTTAGCAAGATACAGCAACATATAGACAAAAATCAAGAGGCCACTGGAAAATGTAGTAAGAATACAATAAGGCATAAAAGAGCTAAAAATACTTGCTGACAATTTATCCAAAACCTTCTGCAAAGAAATAATCCTAGACTTAATGACTATTAAGACACTTTACTTGTCATAAATGACTTTCTTTTGCCAAAATAACTATTCTAACAATTCCCAACCTTTGGGAATTGAATCATGTCCTTGTTTAAAGCTAAGAGAGACATTCTGATGATTTTTCTAATTAAAAGGGACATCATGTTAATACTGTTTACTGATTTATGATGAGATGCACCAAGCTTTCCCAAATTACACACTATTTCTATTTTTTTCTCCTTACAAAGAAGATTGTCCAATCCATTTGCTGGAGTACAACAAACTATCTAAACTATAAGTAAAATTCAGGTGTCAGGTCATTACCCCATTCCTTTGCGTCAGTCATTTGGGCCCATGTTTAAATAGAATCAGAAGGTATTCCATAACCTTTTTGGTAACCATTGATATATATAATGAACCTCGTCCTTAGAAATAATTTATCTTATCTAAAATAAAACTTTGAAGTTTAATCCTTTGGTAAAATGTACTATGACTTATACATATGATATATATATATATAGATATATAGAGATATATACACACACACTATGAGCCTGATCCATGGCAAAAAGTATCTTTTCACTTTAGATAAATATCTCATTTTATTGTCTCTTCATCACACAAGTACTGTACGTTTTTGAGTAATAATTGGCCAACCATATTGATTATACCTGCTGGTTGCAAACTATCTTAGAACTCCATGATAAAAATGTGAGTGACATACAAAAGTGATGTCAGCAACATAAGGAGTTTTGCTTGGTGCCAAATGTGTTGCCTTCAAAACAACCACTAGTGTTAGTAGAGACAGATTCCTCACACCTGGAACCAAGACTGATTTACACAAACAGCAACACTTGCTAGTCTGTGAGAGGATTTGGGAAATTTAAAGAAAGAGTATTGCCTCCAAACATGCTGAAAAAATCTGACTCACTCATTTACAGAAACATCTCCATAATCACTCTAGTGCTCTCCTGAGTGAAAATATCTCAAAAGTTAGATCAGAGCAGTGAGAGATTACTGCCAAAGCCCTGGGAGTGGACAGGAAGTTACTCTTGATATAACAGTATTTTTAAGCATGCTTTTACAAAAATTAAAATACTTTGACTTAACATTTATTAATGAGACATAAGAAATAGACTTTTTTCAGACTCTGGTGGCTCCAAAGTAGAATTAAGGGATCCTTCCCTTATTTGACAGGAGTAATTAATCTCCTGGTACCCTGGTAGGGTAAGTGATGGTCAGGCTTTTGCGCTGTTGGCCTTTGTGGCTATCACCTGCGGCCTGAAAGCAGGCGGTGATTGGGAGTCTGGCTCTAGGTACGCACGCCTGATTGTGGATACGTGCAGTATGGTGTGGGCATGCGCAAGTGTGCACACCTGAGCCTTGAGGCTGAGAATATCAGAGCGTCATCACTCAGGCCGGCTGTGGCAGAACGCATAGGAGACAAGAGACGGCTGCAAGAGGAAGAGACCAGAAGACAATGCCAGAGAAAGATTCACAGGGGGCTGCGCGGCTCCTGCCCACCCTGCTCCTGGTTGCCTCACTACAGGTACATAAATTTCTATTTCTTTTAAATATCTGTGTTGAAATCTGCATATGAAAATCAGTTGTCTTTAAATATCCTAGGAATTATTGCCCATATATCCTATGGAACTTGGTAGCAAGCGACTCAACAATTTATTTGTTTGTGAAGATCTGATATAACTTCGTTATGTGTATTTTACCTGTGTCAACAGAAAAAATGACTAAATTTTTTTTTAATGTAATATCCCAGGTAGCAATAATTTGATTTATTTCTCAGAGCTTGTTTCTGTAATTTCTAAATTTCCTACTGCAAACATACATTACTACTATGACAAAAAATAAAATTAAAAAATTTACAGGGGGAGCTAGAGTGTACCTAAAAAGTTTCAAGAAAAATAAGTAGTGCTTCTAGAAGTTGAGGAAATAAAAACTTTTTTTTTAGAGGCATTCCTATACCAGTTATGCTTTTCACATGGTGTTACAATAATGAGATTAACTGCTGATTAGTAACCATGAGCTTGGAACCATCCTCACTACTTCCCATCATCCCATTTAATCGTCACAGCAACCCTAAAAGTAGGACAATTGTTAATATTCTCATTTTTCAAATAATGAAACAAATGAAATTGTGGCCTAGGAGCAGTTTTTAGAGCAAAATTGATTTTGAACTATTAAAACACCTAATCACCACTCAATAAGAAGCCCTAAAATAGTCAATAGATTCCTAAAGAATATAAAAAGCCAGAAATTAAAATGCTTTTAAGTGTAGGTTCAGTCAAGAGAAAGCAAATTATAAAAGACTCACTATTATATTTCATTTTTAAACATTTACAAAACTTAGAGAAATTTTGGTTATACCAAGATCTTACTGTCACTGTATTTCCTTCAGATTCTACCTTAACTATTCACAAGCAAAGACACTATTACCGTAACTATACAACAGCACTGTTAAGTATTACTACATGATCATATCTCATTTTTAGTGTGTTACCTTTTTCCCAGAAAACCAAGGCTGTGCTTGTAGTATCAGGGAACTTTCCCCATTTAGTCGGGTACTTTCAACTGAATATAGTGTGGTCCAATATAGAAATCCTCCAACTGAATCCACCACCATATCATTCACCAACAACTTCACATGAGTCACAATGTCGGTATGTCCTGTCAACAAAGACTGCCTTTGTATCTATAAAACATAACAGTGTGGTCAGTTAAGAATTTTCAAATAACATCATTATTTCTGAATTTATTCAATCATTTATTTTTTTAAAGATTTATTTATGTATGCAAGAGGAGGTGAGGTGTAGGCCAGAGGTGCAGGGGATAAGAGGATTCACCAGAAACAGAGTGAGAAGCAGGACAGGTGAATCTATAGAAATACACTGCTAAGGGGAGCAGCAGGCGAGTCAAGAGAGGTCTGCTGTGCCATGTGGGTCACCTCCCCGGATGGGGATCGAACTTGTGCTGCAGTGGCAGCGGACAGCTTCACAATGCTGTGACTAACCCCTTTCGCCACTGGGAGGCCCCTATTCAATCATTTATTGATTTTTATTGTAACCATTTGTAATCGCATTCATTCACTTATGCAGCCACAAAAATTATTAACCCTATATGCTGGATAGTGTGTTAAGAAACAAAACAGTCATGGTATCTGCCCTCAAGCAAATTATCTCTTTATATCACTATAGTAAAGGGAGGTAAATTGATTTTGAGTTTAAATACTTGCTCTTCCTAATACACCCAACAATGAAAACACTGCTGAATTAGAATGCATTTGACTGGATTCCCAAAGTTGTGTACATCCTGGTAAATGATGTCTATACTTGCTCCTTTCCTTGAGTATATTTTCCTAATATTACTGCCATTACAGAGTACCATAATATGCTAGCCATTGTACCTATTTACTTTTAAAATACTAGTTCTTATCACCCCCAACAATAAGTCTATAAGGGATTTTTTTATTATTATTATTATTATTATTATTTTTATTTTTTTATTTTTTTTTAAATAATGAATTTTATTTTTATATTCCCCCATACAATTGCAAAAGCCCCATTCTGACCCCAATCCTTCCCTTCCCGCCCCCCCCCCCAAAAAGTGTCTCTGGTTCATAGTTTTTTGTTGATTTTGATTTTCACTTTCTTATATTCATTTTCCTGGTCCCTTATTTAAGTTTTCTAGATTCCTGCTATGAGTGAGACCATCCGGTATTTTTCTTTTTCTTTTTGGCTTATTTCACTGAGCATGGTGGGAGTGCAAAACTGTTGGTGGGAGTGCAAACTGGTCCAACCACTATGGAGAGCTGTGTGGAGATTTCTGGACCTACTAAACATAGAGCTTCCATATGATCCAGCAATTCCACTCCTAGGTATTTACCCAAAGGACACAGAAACATCAATTCCAAAGAACACCTGCACCCCTATGTTTATAGCAGCACTGTTTACAATAGCTAAGCTTTGGAAACAACCCAAATGCCCAAAAATAGATGACTGGATCAAGAAGATGTGGTACATATATACCATGGAATATTACTCAGCATTCAAAAAAAGATAAACACATGCAATTTGCAGCAACATGGATGGCGCTGGAAGGGATCATGCTATAAGGGATTTTTATTTCCTACTTCACGAGTAAACTGGCTTCACAAAAGTTATTCTTCTGAAGCTGAACAGTTTTGTAAGATGGAACAAATACTTGATACCAACATGAATATCTTTCCTTCCAATTCCTTCTTTAAAACTAATTTTAAACTTACCCATTTTAGGGAACATTCTCTGACTAACCTCACTCAAGTCCCTCCTGCTTGCATAATGTTGGCACTTATGAATTCATACTACATTACTTTGCTTCTAAGTACTTGGTTTTGTATGCTTCTATTTTAATAGGTAATTTAGCTGATGAAGAAAGTAGGGACAAGTGGTGATAACACACAACACTGAGCATACTAAGTCTGCATTTTCTACAACAAAAGGGTGAACTTTATTGTATGTGAATTATACCTCCACAACACTAATAATCTTTATTAAAAAGAACAAATATATGCCTATTTATATTCCCAACTATGCCTACTCACAAAGCCATCAACATTAGTAATAGATAAGTGGTCATTAAATTGAATAAATAAATGAACAAACAACCCCCAGATTAGGAAATTATTTCAGTAACATGTTTCTTGATCTGTCAGACTTGTTTCCGCATCATTACCTATTCTTCCTTCTCAGTGTGCTCTTCACAGATGTCTTCACCAGGTCTTCTCTCCACCCTACTCTGTGCCCCTAGAAGCTGACATCTATGAGCTACATCAAAAGGGCTCACTTGTTTTCTGGCTTCAGTAAGATTCAGCCAATGGAAGCACTGGCAGAATATCAGAGGGCAGAAGGAAAGAGGGATTGGAGTGTTTATTCCCCCAGATTACTCCTTGCCAGACACACATTTTGGTGTGCTTGGGTTTCATGTCGGAGACTCTTACACAGTCCTCCCCAGATTCTTGCCCTTCTTGCCCTTGCCCCTTTATACCTCAAGGTAGTTACATCTTTCCAAGTTCCCTAGCCCAGGGCATGCTTCACCATCCTTTCATCATTTCTTTAGCCCTCTCCCCACCTTTGACAACTGTCCCTTCACTTGGTTTCCTTTAACCACGTCTATGGAACCATCTTTCTCTGAATACTGACCCACATATGAACATTTCAATAAATTTCTTTTTTTTTTAATAGAGGCATTTTTGTTTGTTTGTTTGTTTTGTTTATACATTTACTGGGTACAGTCTGAAGCACAGGAGGGTGAGAGAATTCACCAGAGCCAGAGTGGGGAGCAGAGCAGGCAGAAGGACCGAAGTACACTGCTGAGGGGAGCAGTGGGTGGCAGGAGAGGTCTGCGCGCCATGTGGGACCCTCCTCCGGTGGCCGGGGAGCAGCCAGGGATTGAACTGGTGCCAGAGGCCGCGGGCAGCTTCGCAACCCAGCGCTCTACCGCTGCGCCACCAGGGAGGCCCTCAAATTTCTTTTAAGATATTATTGAAAATATATAACTACTATATCAAATAGTGAAATAAAATTTCCTTTACACATAAATGCATTTTAATTTAGAATTTAGACATAAATATTAAATGTAATAGGATAGGTTGTACACAAGTATGAAAAAATCAAGAAAATGACATGCAGTTCACTGGAGTGCATGGGCATTGTTCTCAAGCATCCAGAATGCAGAGTATTAACTTACCACGTATGTCTTCCCAGCCCAGTAGAGAAAGTGACCCAGCCACTCGAAAGCTAAAGCCCCTGCACCGGCGATGTTGGGTATGTGATAATTCTCTGAGGTGTCAGTCCCATTCAGTAGCCACATGTAAACATCACCTCTCTTGTCGCTATAGTAGAGGCTGTTGTTATACCAATCCATGTCTTAAAACAAAGTGAATTGGTAGCAGTTACCTTTCATGTATGCTAGCATAACCATAGTCAGTCAGCAAAACACACAAGCACAGCTATACAATTTTAAAGCACCTACTAACTTAGAAATTCACTAGGACAGCAAAGATATATTGAGAAAATTTCAATAATGTTATCCTAAATCTTAATCCTTGGGACTGGGGAATAGAACTAATCTTCATCTGAACATCTCCTTTTGGTCAAAGATTGTCACAGTCACTTGTCTTACTTAATTCTGAAAGCAAATCAAGTAGGAATTAGCCCCATTTTTTGACATGGCAAACCCAAGACTCAGGGAGATAATATGTTCTCCCCAAGCTCTCACCAATGGAAAGAGGGGAAGCACAGATTCAAGCCAACTCCAAAACACACTGCCTCTTAAGTCCTTGAATCTTAAGTCCTACTATATTTTGGTCATACGTACTTTAATAGCCAATTAAACAGCTAATAGAGCTATTTAGAGAAGATGTCATCTTCAGGCCAGACCACTGTTATACTATCTGGAATGAAAACTTCTTCATTCTAACATGTTCTGAGCAAAATTACCGACTTGTTCCTTAATAATCTTCCTTATTAAGAATTTTTTCTTTGATTTAGAACTTCATGCAGCCATTCTCCAGTCTTAAATTCATAATAAATCTTAGTGGAACAAGATAAGCTTTTACTGTGAGACAATATTGATATATTAAAATACGTGAGAAGACTATCAAAGTTTTCCTCAAATGGGCATAAATCAGTAAATAACCTCACATTTTGTGAAATGATAAATAGCATTCCTATTGAGAACTGACATTTCTTAATAGCATTACTGGCAGGATAGTCAGTCAATATTTTTTTCCTTTCATTATTGACCTAAAACACTCAGCTCTTTTGATTTATTAAATAGCTTAGAAGACTTCTGAATAGAAACCTATCCTCCAAGTGAATAAGGAATTTGGTGTGTACCTGACACATTTCCTATATCAGAGGATAAGAATTCTCCTGGGCCAAAGCTATTTAATGGTTTACTCCAAAGTCCATCTTCTTTCACAGCCATAATAAATGGTGGCTCTTTAGCTGTTTGATAAATAAAAAATATATATATATATCATTGAAAATATACTTTTTAAGGTACATCTCTTATGCCCCATGATTTCCTTTATAAAGTAAAAGGATATCAACATTTTGAAAAATACTATGGAAGGATATGAGTAATACCTGCTTAATAGAACTATCATATTAAGTATTTTATTTTTTATACAAATCTCTGAAATTGAATATGAAGGAAAGTGGGTGGTAATGTTGCCTCTATAGCAATATCATAGTGTGTAAATTATTTATTGTTTTGCTTTGGATACTGGTAACCACAATCCCACTTAGTACACCCAGATGCAATTGTGATAACAGTAGGCAAACAGTACAGTTATCTTCTATTTTCCTTCAGCCAAGAGGACAGAATTCAACATAATTCCCGGCCCCTCAACTTCTCTCACCATGACCTGCAGAGTATAAGAGGTGCTATTTTTCAATAAATCATAAGAAAAGAAAAAGTCAGAAAAAAACTATATTGTTTCATCAAATATCTTGGAAGAGTTTAAATAGCAGGTTTTTAGAAGCAAATTAAAAGTCACACAGTTGCCTTACTTGCTTTCCTAATCCCTATCTCAGAAAGTAATTTAGTCAAGAGGCCAGCACACTCTTCTTCTACTTTCTCTACCATAATGAGGTGAGGAATTTTGAAGGGCATAGGAAATACTCCTTTTTTGTCAGAATCATTCCCTAAATCAAAGACGTTTTCTCACCTGGCACCAGAGTAGTACCCACCGAGGGCTCTGACCAAGGGCCTGACCCCTTGGGAGAACTTGCTCTCACAGACACCGTGTATTTCATAGCACTCTGCAGCTGGGGTACATTAAGCATGGTCCCACTTATGTTAGAAAAAACATGAGTGATTTCTGGGAAGTCTTGGCTTGATAGTTTCACATCGTAAGTCCAGTTCTGCCAGGCGGAAGGGCCTAATCAGATGAATTAAACAATATTACTGACTTAAGATGACATCAGCAAGGGAAAACAAAGGATCATGGTGTGAATGGAAAGGAAATTGGGCTATAATAATACCTTTACCCCAACAATCATCAGAGCTATGACTAGCATCATGTCTGTCCCACCCATCCTAATTATTTTGCCCCTTTGAAGGAAACCTCATTCCCAACAAATCAGAGGGTAATATTTTCAGTCAAAGCTGCACATCTGCAGCATAGAATTGGCAGAGGGGTTTTCTTTAAGACCACTGGTCTAACCAGGTTCCGAGTAGACAATTGCTGAATGATAAATTGCTAATTTTGTATAGCACTTTTCTCCAAGAGGTGCAAACCAAATACAAAAAAAAAAAAAAAGCCTGTTACTTTTTAGCCATCTTTGAGATATGGAACAAATAGGCATAATTAACTTTATCTTAAAGTTTTAAAAAAGTCTGTTTGCTGAATACTTTAGGGGACCAGTGGTTGGCAAACTATAGCCTACAGGCCAAATTTGCCTACTACCTGCTTTGAAAAATAAATTGTAGTGGAACATAGCCATGGTGACTCATTTACATATTATCTATGACTATACACACAATACGAGGGCAGAGTAGCTGTAACAGAGACCAAATGACTCACAAAGCTGCTTCTTCCTCAATAGAAAAAGTTTAACTTCTGGGCTAGATACTGTTCCAAGTGTTCTACCCAGGTATCTTAAGTTAATCTATATGACAATTCCATAGAAAGATATCATTAATATTCCCATTTTTCAGATGCATGGCATGGTTAAATAATTTGTCCAGGGCTGTTCACTAACAAATGGAAATACCATCTTTGAATCCATGCAGGCTGGCTCCAAAATCTGTTTATGCACCATACATACTGCCCTCCAGAGATGGAAGTTCAAGTTTAGAGAATTTTAGAGAGTTGCTCAAATCTATGCAAATCTCAATGCATGAAAATCTCAGAGTACTATCCCACTGGCTTCTATACTGGCTCAGACTAGAATGCCAGTGTATGGCTCCTTCTAGACACTCAAGAAATGTTCAAGACATTCTATTGGCATATACATGATAAATATGGAAATCTTCCCAAAACTAAATTAGTAAATGCAGAACAAATAGAAAAACACCTGTGTGTATGTGTAGAAATGTTCAAGATATTCTACTGGCATATACATGATAAATATGGAAATCTTCCCAAAGCGAAACTTAAAATGCAGAATAGAAAAACACATTTGTGAGTGTGTGTGTGTCTGTATGTGTAGAAGAACTGAAGTCTAGGCAAGAGGTGCTGGGGGTGAAAGGATTCACCAGAGACAGAGTAGGGAGCAAACAGATCTACTGAAATACACTGCTGCAGAGAGCAGAGGGTGAGACAGGAGAGGTTTCCTATGCCAGATGTGGGTTAGCTCTCTGACCTGGAATGGAACTTAGGCCATAGCCTAAGTTGATAGTGCTGAGACTTAACCCCTAGGCCACCAGAGAGGCCCTGAAAACACTTTTGGGTTTTTTTTTTTCAGCTGAATATCCCTTCTGGTTGATGACAGAAGCAAGTGATGATAGAATCACATGAGGGGACTCAAAACTGAGTCACAATGTCAAACAGTTCGTTTTCCTTTCCCTCCAGCAAGGCTAGTAGTCATGCTGAGGGCAGGGCACTCACTGGCTCCTATGGCGAGGGCAGGAGGCTTCCACTGGACCCGGGCCTGGTGGGAGCCAAACAGAACTGAGAGTTGCTGCGGGCGGCCAGGGAGGGGATGCGGCTGGGTGTGAGAACCAAAGATGACCAAGTTACTGAACCCAAATTCTTCTATGTGACTCAGGTCACATCCCACAATGAACTCATTAAAAGATGAAGAGTCTTGCTGGAAAACGGCCTTTCCATCTGTGACCAGGAAGTCATTGTTTTCACAAGCAAAGCTCTTCACTTCAGCAAAGACAGTTTGAGGCAGGACAAGATGGGAAGCAGAGCCATCCAGAAATGTTGACATGAAGCTGTGGGCCGTGTCATTGAAGTAAATGATTCGCTTGGACTGTGGCTTTACTGCAAAGTCCTTTAATGTGCAACTCTCCACAATACGCACCACTTCAGAGCCCCGGCCAGGTGACACAGGGAGATCTACTTTATAAATGCCATCTCTCAGGAGATAAAAGACATACCTGACAAAGGAACAAAAGAAGTGTGGCATGATTCAATGCAATGGTAGATGAGTAACCTTTTCAGTTCATTACTTTATCCTGTTGTGCCATCAGAATCATAAATCTCTGGAGTGGCTAAGGACAAGATTTCTCAAGGTGCAAAAGGGTACAGGTATTTACTAGAGATATCCTCCATTCATTTAAGTTAGAAGTTGGAATACTGGAAAAGCTCCACCTCAGTTTTAATGCTTTGAGAAAAAGCAGCTGTCAAAGACTTCACTGAGATGCATCTTGAATGATTGATTTAATTGATGAAGATAATCCTCAAAATGAGTCATTTTGTATAATTGTTAGCAACAAAGTTACATTTCAAAGGATCTTACATAAGCTTTAACAAATGAGGAAAATAAGATCCAGGGAATCAAAAGGACTTGCCCTAGGTCACAGAATTTTTTTGCAAATATTCTATAATTCAATAGTTTACATAAGCCTATGACATTAAAAGAAGTAGCTAATACATTATGAATTAATGTGAATAGGAAAATTTGATTTTAAATCAATGAACAATCTTCAAGAAAGTCAATTGTGAGAAATAACAAGTGTTATGGGCTGCATTTTTTCTTTAATTCAAAACAAAAATAACTATTTCTATGGACCTCCCCGGTGGTGCAGCGGTTGAGCGCTGGGTTGCGAAGCTGCCCACAGCCTCTGCAGCGCCGGTTCAATCCCCGGCTGCTCCCCGGCCACCGGAGGAGGGTCCCACAGGGCGCGCAGACCTCTCCTGCCGCCCGCTGCTCCCCTCAGCAGTGTACTTCGGTCCTTCTGCCTGCTCTGCTCCCCGCTCTGGCTCTGGTGAATTCTCTCACCCTCCCGCGCTTCTGACTGTACCCAGTGCTTGTATAAATAAATCTTTTTAAAATAATAATAAATTAATAAAACTGCAATTTAAAAAAATAACTATTTCTATAAGAAGGAAAAAGCTTGATTTTACAAGCATTAATATCTTATTATTAATCTGCTATTATTGGTAATATTTAAGGAAAACCCCAAAACAACTTCCTTTTTTCATCCTTCATATTTATGTGCATTTGGTGATCAAAAAATACATTCACAGTAAATACCTCATTTCATCTTCAAAATAACCCAATTGATAGGTATTACTTTCTTCCTCATGTTAAAGGATAAACCTAGGTCACAGACATGAAGTTTCTAACTCAAGGGAGCACAACTAAGCTAAAAAGTTTCCATTTCATTTGCAGTAGAGAGGAAATAGTTATTTGTAATGGAGAATTCTCACTGGTTATTAGCCATCAATTCCTATCTCTTATGTTGGATGCTAGAAGCATCCTCAATAAATGTCTCTTGATAGCTATGAGAACCAAACCAAAGAAATGAACTGGAGCTGGACTGCTCAAAAAAATAAAAACAGAGGAAACAAAGGCAGAAAGAGGTTCTCATGGGGCATTGCAGAATGGGGCATTGCAAATCCAGAATGACAACCCCAGTACCTGAGTTCCAGACATGAGTTCTTTCCCGTGTACTCATATTTTACTGTGAAGGACGGAGGGAAAACTACTTAACTAGAGAAGTTGTAGATCAACTTTGAAAGAATTTCCTCCTGGCTCTACAGAATGAAGACTTTGCCTAGATTTAATTAAATTTGAAATGAGATACCTAGATTGCTTCATATGTAATATGATGTTTCTTTAGCAAGCAAGTTTCCCAAAGATTCTTGCCAATGGAAGAGAATTCATATTTATAAAACTAACACTTACCCATTGTATGAATCAACCACAATTTTTTGAGGTGCATTAATAGAGGGGGGTGTAATTTCCTCACTGTTTGAACAGTTCTGTAAATCACAGACACATACCTAGAGTATAAAAAATACATCAGTAGGATTAGTGTCTATATTCAATAAAGCCAGCAAATATTCATCCAGAATCTGTTTGTTCCCTGCTTAGAATTAGTTGCTGATCACTTTTCAAAAGATTTTTAAAAGTCAGTTTTATATCCATTCTTCTGAGTTTATGTTCTATTGGCATCAATGAAATGCCTATTTTCCTGGCTTGTGAAGGCATTCAACTAAATATTAAGCTATAGTTTTAATATTTAAGTTGATCCAAGATTATGGGCTTCCAGCCATAGTGATAAACCTGTTTATTGTGATAAGAAGAAAACTTGAAATTCATCAAGACTGTGCCTTCTGAAAGATTTCAGTGATACTGTCTCTTTAGAAACTGACTAAAGTTATCCCTTGTTTTATATAATTTAAATGTTTGCAGCCGGTTCTGATCACAATGAGCCGTCCCACTAATACAGTTACCACCACTATCTTTCAGAAGATGGATCATCACTAGTTTTAATTCATGACTCTAAAAAAATAAAGGTGATGAAATGCTAAGACTAATATTAGGTAATGTGAAGACACTCTTATAGACCAACTCATGATTCGTTAGTTAATGAATGTCTAAAACATCTTAAGCACTTAACAAGTATTTAATGAATGAAAGAATATATTTTGTCAATATGCACATGAATGCAAATATCTGTCTATTCAGTTTAAATTTTCAGACTAACCAGTTCATCCATGATGAAATACATTTTCTGATAAAGCCAGTCTACAGAGATGGAAGAAATGAATCCTGAACCCCTGTAAAAAACTCTTAGGTCAGACACGCTGGACATGTCAGCAGCCTCCTTCACCCATATGAGAGTTCCTTCAGAGAAATAAACAACTTGCTGGTGGACATTAACTGAAATTCCTGGAAGAGGCGTGCAAATACATGTGAGTTATGATAAAACAAACAACACAAAAACTTACATAAAAGAGAATTTATTTCTTTAGATTTTAATAGAGACATAAAATAGAACTAAACCTGGATTTTTCTTTTTATCTTAACACATTTATATTTTACTAACCTGTAATATTATGGTGGATAGCATCTGACTGAAGGCAATGTGCTTCATCTACTAAATGTTTTAAAGATCTCTTTCTCAGAGAAGTTTTTCTGGATAAAAAGAGCCATTGTTCCTCTTCTTGAACTAAAAACCAATGACCATGATTTAAGACAGATAAATCAACCATTTCCACATAGGCACACAAAGATCAACACCACATTTCAAAACATGGGGACTAGAAATTGAAAGAAGTTGATCAGATTATTTTTTTTAAGACACTGGGGTATTTCATTCGTGGTATAAATCACATTATTCTATGATTTGGGGTAACTAGTATAATGTCAATCAAGTATGACTAAAAGTCCCCACAATAACATTATATGTTGTATCTCCATTCCCAACAGCCTTGCCCGAACAGGAACTCAGCTCATTATCCTTGACTTCTTGGTAGAGGTAGTCTAACCTAGACCAAAGTGAGTTATTGAATAACACACACATATAGACAGACATTGGTTATCTTCAATATCTCTCCCTTTGAAGTAGAAAAGTCCTTAGAGAAATGAAATTTAATGACTGCAAAACTCTGCCTGATGTCCTGTTCTACTAGAGATTGATGCAGTGTGCTTTGTTGAATACTTTCAGGGCAATTAATAAATGTTATGCAATAATCGCAGTAATAACAACCTTAAGCCTACTTTATATTTAACTCATCCTTTGGACATGCTTTTGGCATAACAAAAATACCTCCCCTTTCCTAGAGTTTAGTAATAGCCAAAAAACTAAAAGCTGGTGATAGATGATATGCAGTACTCACTGGCATAGTCATGTGAAAGTTAGGGTAAGGGGTGGTCAAATCAGAAAATGGGGTTCTAGCAAAAATAGAAAATAGAATTCTAGAATTCTGAATCTTGGTGTGTTATTTAAAACACCTTTGGTAATTTCCCGGAAATATTTCCATTGCTTCTTAGAAAGCACTTTCATCTGATTTTTGCTAACATAGGCAACATGCATTAAGTATCCCATTTCTCAAGATCCTTTGTTAAAATGCTAAAGCCAAAAAAAATTACATATTAAATGATTACAAAAGTTAATTTGGGGATTGACGATTCAAAATGGTGACAAGTATGGGGCCTCCCTGGTGGCGCAGCGGTTGAGCGCTGGGTTGCGAAGCTGCCCACGGCCTCTGCAGCGCCGGTTCAATCCCCGGCTGCTCCCCTGCCACCGGAGGAGGGTCCCACATGGCGCGCAGACCTCTCCTGCCGCCCGCTGCTCCCCTCAGCAGTGTACTTCGGTCCTTCTGCCTGCTCTGTTCCCCACTCTGGCTCTGGTGAATTCTCTCACCCTCCCGCGCTTCTGACTGTACCCAGTGCATGTATAAACAAAACAAACAAACAAAACCAGCAAACAAATAAATAAAGCATGCCTCTATAAAAAAAAAAAATGGTGACAAGTAATTTATTAAGTCCAGATACATTTAAAAACCTTGGAGACTAGAGAAGAAAAGGATATCTGATATGTATTGAAAGATCATACATACTGAAAAATGGGAGATAGTTCAGAAAGGTTACAGGTATACCCTAAGTATATAGATATGTTACCATTACCAGTGATTTCAACTGAAATCAAAAATTTGCTTGAAGCTCTTTTTTTAATCCCTAAATGTTTTCATTCTAGCTTCTAAATTCCTAAATTCTAATGTGAAAAGTTTTGATCTGACAACTTACCTCTCTTTGTCAAATACTGGAACTCACTTAAAATTGAAAACTTACCAACTACCCAAAAGATAAGTGTCCATTTGGGCAGAAGAGATAGGGTCTTGAGGCCTACCAGGTGACCAGGACCTCTGAGCTCACCCTTGCCACCCCCTCAATTCCCTTGGAACAGAACGAGCATCCCCAAGCCATACCTGCTAGGGATGGAGTGGTAATATTAGATTCTGCTTCTGGCCCCTCACCAACTTCATTTACTGCTGCAATAGAAAACCTATTCCAAAAATAATTTAGAGAGATGTGTTTCACATGGCATGGTGTGAACATGAGATAAAAATAGAAAGAGCAATAACATTTCTGTTTAAAGGACAATGTGGCAATATGTGTATCTAATTACTTGGTGCCACTGATCAGCACTAAAATGACCATTAATCACATCCTTGTTTGCCTTCCCCATAGGATAGTTCAGGGTCACGGAGGTCAAAAATTGAACTCCACTATCTGCATGACCCCTATTTCTACCCTAATTTAAAGAGACCTTAGTAAATGTTAGAAAAGCTAACAATAATAAAATAATCCCTCAATGGTTAATAAATACCATTAACAGAATAGCACCTCTTTATTTTTTTCATGTTGGATTAAATGAGGAAATGATATTCATGAGATTTATGTCTTTGTCAGTTCATTTTTATAAGAGTCCTCTGAATATAACAGAAAAATACATGAGAATGCTTTGTTTAGGATGATATAATCTACTAAATATATAAACTTGAAGAAAACCACAAAAACTTCAACCCAACATCAAAAGCCAAGGGTGCACCTCAAAACACATTTAAATTATTCTTAGCCATATTTCTTAAATAATTGCTAAACCTGCAGACATAATTCTTACCTGTAGATGGTATTTGGTAGAGTGGAGTAAAACTGGAAACTGGTTCTCTGTGTCCCTGAATCTAATTTTTGATTTTTGCTGATCAGTCTTAAGTTATAACCCAAAATAGGTCCACCTGGAAACTGGGGTGGTGCCCAGCTGACTTCTACCGTGTCCGGACTTGAGCTCTCAATATTTCTAATGAAAGGAGCTGTTTCAGGAACTGGAAGAGATAATGGTAACAAAGCCAGCAGAAAAATTTACAGGGTTTATGTTTTTAAATAGGATAGAAAAATGTTTTTATTGAGATTTTTCAAACAGCATTCAATATTTTTATCAACATTCAAAATAAGTCAGAGAAGGTAGTAAAAGATGTATGAGCTACAACTCTTTATCCTAAATTATACTAGTTAGCTACTTTCCTAAATTATACTAGCTAGCTACTTTCCTAAGGAATCACTCAAATTTTTTTCTCCTCCTCAATTCTATTTATGAAATAAAATTAAATGTGGAAGTATACAAAGAGGATAACAAGTCTAGAAAAAATTGTCAGAAGTTTCCAGTGACCTAAATGAGTTGAAAGGTAGGAATGCACCCAGTTAGGAAGAAAAAAAGAATCAGTAGCAAATCTGGAGTCAATGATTAACGTGAGTTGAAAGAAGTGGGTCCTGGGGCCTTTTCCCTCAGGAGGGTGGGATGGTCTGGCCAGTTCCAGCTGAAGATATAGTTCAGATAAGCCTGAATTAGAACAATCTGCTTCACTTTTGCTGGCATCAGTTCTGATGATCCAAACTATATCTTCCTTAGCCCAGCTCCCACGGTCCCTTGGAATCCAAGTTGATTTAGCAGTATACCTTCTCTTGCAGTGGATTAAAAGAGCATGCATTAATTAGCTAAGCATCCACTCAAAGAACAGAGAAGAAAACAATCTAACAATCTGTCTTTCATCCATGTCTCCATCTATTTTTCATACCTCCCATCCCCTGAACTCTTTTTCATTTTCTGTTTTCATAGAAAGTCATACTTGAAATCATTGTGCTCTTGAGTAGACTTCTCCCCCTCTGAACACTTTTGGCAAATGCTCTCTTATCACCCCTGACTCATTAAAGTTGGGAGAATTAATACTGTTCAGCCCTCGCCTTGGGTGAGTTTAAAAAAATAAATAAATCACTCAGTCTTTTTCTGATCCAATTCCTCCCCAATTCTCAGACTAATCTTTGGCAAACACAAACACCATTGCAACACTTCTCTACTCCATGCCCTCAGTCACTCTGGTGAACAGGGAGTGGGAATTATCTCCTACTAATGAGAATGAAAATGTCAGAAAATCTAATTCGTTAGGATAATGCCCAGACATGATCTATTCTACTTCAAGCAAGTTGGATGCCACCTACAAGACAAACTTACTATTGTTCAAATCTTGCCCCCCAAATTCTCCATAGACCCAATAGGGTATTTTAAAGGACTGCAGCAGCTTTGGTGAAGGTGTGCTGTGGTGACATATATCTGCGGAGGTATGAACCTGCTCTCCTAAATCATACAGTGTTGTAAACCAATGTTACCTCAGTCAAAAAAAAAAAATATCCTCCCTAAAAGACTGGTCAGGTTAAGCTAGGAATAACCATTCGACTTGATTAAGAAATTACTTTCATAATAACCCCAATTAAGAGGCAATAAATACCCTCTAAAATCGTGTATTTCCTGGAGCTAAAAGAGACTAGGACCATGAGGCAATGGAACACAAAACAGGTAATTTTATAAGTTTTGAGGTAGCTAAAAGTGAGAGAAAATGAAGCCTGAGTTACCATCCATGAAAAGGATACACACCAGAAGGTCTGGAACACCTAGAGGTTATATGGACTTGCTGTTGACTGAGGTTGATTCTGAACACTTTATTGAATTTGCCACCTGACTCTCTTTCCCTCGTGTCCCTACTTCTAATCCCTTAAAGGTCAGACCCAGCTCAAAATAGTCCCCTTACCATAGTACACAACACCTTCCCATTTACAATATTCTTTTCTTATTTACAATGGTTTCTGCTTATAGTGTTCCTTCTACATTAAAAGGTGAGCTTCACAGGCAGGAATATTACCATACCCCAAGGTATGGTAATAACAGAACACTACTTAGCACATAGGTCCTCAACTGTTGAATGGCTGTTATTGAAAAAATAAATGTATTTCATTTCTTAAAACAAGCTAAACCAACACTTTGGGATAATGTCCTTATTCCCATAAGCACGTGTGACATCATACCTCCAGAAGGATGAGTTCTATAACTGGAACTTGGGGGAGAATATAACTGCAACTGAGCTGTGAAAATCCAAACCACTCGAAAAGTATACTCAGTGAAGGGATGCAGAGACTGTACCACATATGAGAAATTGGACACGGCCTAGATTAACAAGAGATCGATAATCAGCATTGATAGCATCATTACTGTACAGTGTGACTTGAAAGTACGGACCTATAGGTAATGGCTGGCTTTCTGGATATTGGTTAATCCAGGACTGCCAGACCAAATGTAGAAGCAGCTTGGCGCTCAAAGCCAAGTCATCCTAATATCAGTCTGTGCAACTCACACCAAGTCTTTCCTTATTCAAAATTGCAATGTTATAGATTCAGTTCTGTTGAATCTAAGCTTTTGTTTTTCTATGCTAATATACTTGGTGTCTTAAAACTGTTTTTCCCTCATTTTGTTGATGCTTTCCTATAAAGGAGAATCCTGAATGACACTCTACACAACACTTCCAAATGGAACAACCATCTGTGAGAATCTTCTTGCCCTCCAACCATGTTGAAAGCATTTAAGGAGTCAGATAATGACCAATGATATTTGTAGTTGGTGAGTGACGCTATGCTGAAGAAAATAATCACTATATCCAATATGTTTCCCTCATAAAATAAAGGGTTTGGCATAAACATGTTACAGAGTAGCAATGATTAAAGTTCATCCAATCCACCTATTCATTTTATGAATATCTAGAATATTTTATGCTTATAATTATATACAGCAATTTGGCATTTTTAATAATCTGGGGGGGGGGAAAGCCTATGTCTAGGTACATAGGCAGCTTCTCATACCTCAGTGTAAGTCCAGCTTCCCGGAAGCTGTGTGTATTTCCACTGTATGATATATTTTACTCCAGAGATGTTGGCAGATTTCCATCGTAGTGTCACACTATGACTTCCAATGGAAGAAGCAAAAGGTGCAGTGGGGAGATCAGCATTTTCTGGAAAGAAAAAGGGATTTCATCCACCATGTACCCCTGCCTAGCCAAGCAGGAGAGCTTGTGCCTATTTCATCTGTTGTCCTCAGCAGTCTCTTGCCACAGCTCCATCTTCCCACAACCACTCACCTGATCAATAACTGATGCACACATTCAACTGATTTATTTTTAAAAATGAGCCAGTGAGTCTGGCAGCTTCCACCTACCTCTTCCCAATTGAATTTACTGTTATTTTTGAATTTAGTCTCTTTTTCACAGGCAAGCACTAGGCAGTGTTCTGAGACTATGCCATTTTCTCATGTGATGCCACTTCCTCACAGGTGACAGGGGTGGGTCCCTAAATCATATCTGCTGCATTTGTACCCCAAGACATTTTTGAACCTTTATACTATAATTCTGCTATTGTCTATCTTGTCAACAATTTTATATGTGCAAAGACTTCTATATTCAGCAGTTTTGTATTATGAAATATTTCATGACATCTAAACATTCGTGATATTACAATTGGCATAAAAGTCTATAAAGTAAAGTAAAGGCAGTGAAGATACTACTTCCAAGACACTGTAAGGGGATCGGATTCTGAATGGGATATACCACTGGGGTGAAATCATTTTGATTTCTGTTTTCTGAAACCGTGACAAATTTAATGCTTTGGCTTGCTTTCTTTTCCTCAATTATTGTATAAAATATACAGGTAATTTTACTTTCTCCTTTCAAATGTGGATGCATTTTATTGGATCCATCAATTGGACACTGCACCATTTCTCCAATATTGTAGTCATATTGAGTGCCAACTTCCTCATTTTCTGTTGCACATTTCTGTTTTCAATGTACTTACTTTTGATCACAGTCCCTATCAAGACACCCAACATCCTAAAGAAATGATGTCATAAAAAGGAATGTAATGCAATCTATCATGCTACTGTGAACTACCTCCATTTGGTGGTTCCAGCAAATGTTGGCTAACTGTGTACCTCCTTAGAATATTTTAAATGTCCCTTGGCTCCCTGTGGGGTAATTTGGATGCCCTGGGGCACTTGAGTACATAGTTTGGGACCATGAAATGTAGATTTTATCCAAAGTTATCTTCCTCTACAAAGAAGGGAAAAACTGTGATATTACTACTTCTCCACAGAAATGTCAAGGAGAGTGTTTTGTGGGACACTGCAGGACAGAAGTAAATTAGGAGAATGACTTACTTCTAGCCAATTTCCATCATTCCTGAGAGTAAGGAGAAAGAAAGGGTTATAATGTATGAGAAAGAGCCAATCTTCTCCCAGCTAGAATGAATGGTCTCTCAGTAGGAGGAAGCTCTAAGGAATTCTGGAAAAGATAGCTCCTAACATCTAGGCTATGATTTATCAAAGCATTGGTCTTTCAGAAACCTCCAGAGAATTAACATACTAGAACAAAGCAATTTAGATATACCCAACCTGTTTTAACATCAGGTTATACCCAAGACCCCCCTCTCCGACTCCAAATTCATGACCCAGATGGCATAGCTTCAATACATTTTTTAATTTTCCCAGAGCCTTGTAGTGAGCCATACCTATAGTAGGCACTCTATTAAAAACTTGCTAGGTGAACAATAAAATACACATTAAATAAAATATTCTGACAATTTCAGTTCTTTTAGTGTTTTTTCTTGACATAAAATTGGCTTAGGTTTCACATTTGTTTCATTAGGACAGAAGTGATAAAAACATTAAAAACTGGGTCTACATTAAACTAGAAAGCTTCTACACAGTGAAAGACGCCCTATAGTGGGAGAAAATATTTGCACACCATGCATCTGGACAAGGGACTGATAACTGAAAATCACCAAAGAACACATACAATTCCACAAAAAGAAAATAAACAACCAGATCAAAAAAAGAGCTGAAGAGCTAATCAGATTATTCTCCAATGAAGACATGCAGACAGCCAACAAGCACATGAAAAAATGTTCATCATTACTTATCAAGGAAATGCAAATCTAGACCATGGTGAGATACCACCTCACACCGGTGAGAATGGCCCAGCAGAAAGAAAAACAATCAGTTCTGGCAAAGACGTGGAGAAAACAGAGCCCTTCTGCAACTGGTCCAACCCCTACAGAAAGCAGTATGGTAGTGTCTCAAAAGATTTAAAATGGATCTGTCATATGGCCCAGTAACTCCACTCCTAGGAATCTACCCCCAAAATTCTAATTTGAGAGAAAACTTGCATTCATGTTTATTGCAGCACTGCTTGCAGACCTCTCCTGCCACCCACTGCTCCTCTCAGCAGTGTACTTCGGTCCTTCTGCCTGCTCTGCTCCCCGCTCTGGCTCTGGTAAATTCTCTCACTCTTCCGCACTTCTGACTGTACCCAGTGCTTGTATAAATAAATAAATAAATCTTTAAATAAAAAGATAAACTCATGGCAACATGGATAGAGGTGGAAGGGATAATGATAAGTGAAATAGGTCAGAAGAAGATAAATACCAGATGGTGTCACTTCCATGTGGAATACAGAGAAGCCAAACTGAGGATCACATAAACACAAGCTCAAAAACTCACCCTTGAAAGCTGACTATGGAGCTGAAGCATCAGGACCTCCCTGGTGGCACAAGGGGTCAATATGCAGCCTATGAAACTGTCTGCAGCCACTGCAGCATGAGTTTGATCCCCAGCCAGGGAGCTACCCACATGGCACAGCAGACCTCTCCTGACTCACCCCCTGCTCCCCTTAGCAGTGGATTTCAGTAGGTCTGCCTGTTCTGTTCCCCACTCTGTCTCAATGAATCGTCTTACCCACCCCTCTCGGGCCTGTGCCCCAGTTCTTGTATGCATAAATAAATAAATCTTAAAAAAAGACCTGAAGCATCAAGAGTGGGGGGTTAGGAGGCATAGGGATAAGAACAAAGAGGGAAGGAAGTGCAAAGGATTGTGGGTGATTTGGTGATAGGTGCACTACAGTAGCAATACCTGGGGGAACCTATACCCCCCAAAATAGCAACAATAATGGCCAATGTTAACCCAATTAAAAAACTAATTTTTTTAAAGATTATGCATACAGGAACTGGGGTACAGGCCAGAGGTTTGGGGGGTGGTCGTCAGAGGATTCACCAGAGACAGAGTGGGAAACAGAACAGGCAGAATGACTGAAATACTGAAATAATGAGGGGAGCAGCAGGCGAGTCAGGAGAGGTCTACTGCGCCATGTGGGTATCTCCCTGGCCAGGGATCGAACTCATGCTGCAGTGGCTGCGGGTAGCTTCATAGTGCTGTGTCTTAACCCCTTGCACCACCAGGGAGGCTCTAAAAAACTAAATTTAAAATTAAAGGAAAAAAGTGATTGCTCCTTTTGAGCTTGAGGGTAAAATCTCTAAACATCAGTCATGTGCCACCTATCCCTTATTTTGCTCTGAAAGGAGTCTTGCTGAGACTGAGATATTAGAATGAGTTCCACCATTGAAATGACTGCTTTTTTCCTACCTATTTAAAAAGTTTTATCATAGTGACATATAGAAGTCTATGTATTTTCATAGGTGGTTTGTACTCCTTAGTGGAGCTTATTTAATGAAAGGCACACATCTGCTTACCCAGCACTTCCTCTTCATAGGCGCCCTCCGCGCTGCTGCAGCCAACCTCACATGATTCTCGCTGTGGGAGACAAGCAGCACGCTAGTCAGTGCAGCCTTTGTTCTGCTTTTGCTGATAAACTTCAGCTAGATTTTGAAATACGAGCCCTGAGCATATAAGTACATATGCATATCAAGCTTTTTGATCACACCCAATTGTAAGAAATACATTTAACAAAAAACACTAGCTGGGAGAAAAACAAAACAAAATGATTCTTGAAAGAGTGCATAATTTTTTTCTTTTTAAATGATTTTATTGCGATATATTTCACATACTGTAAAATTTACCCATTTAAAGCACACAGTTTTACATCAATTCCAAAGAACACCTGCACCCCTATGTTTATAGCAGCACTGTTTACAATAGCTAAGCTTTGGAAACAACCCAAATGCCCAAAAATCGATGACTGGATCAAGAAGATGTGGTACATATATACCATGGAATATTACTCAGCATTCAAAAAAGATAAACACATGCAATTTGCAGCAACATGGATGGCACTGGAAGGGATCATGCTCAGCGAAAAATACCGGATGGTCTCACTCATAGCAGGAATCTAGAAAACTTAAATAAGGGACCAGGAAAACGAATAACTATAAGAAAGTGAAAATCAAAATCAACAAAAACTACGAACCAGAGACACTTTTAGGGGGGCGGGGGTGGGAGGGGAGGGATTGGGGTCAGAATGGGAGGGCTGCAATTGTATGGGGAATATAAAAATAAAATTTATTATTAAAAAAAAATTAAAACATTTAAAAAGGAATAAACCGAAAAAAAAATAATAAAGCACACAGTTTTAGTGTATTCACAAAATTATGCAATATGCAATCATCCCTACAGTCTAATTTTAGAACATTTTCATCATTCCAAAAAGAAATTCCATACCTGGGATGCGATGCTATTTATTCTATTCTGTTTCATTTTGTTTATTGTAAATTGTGACTCACTAAATTGGCTCCAAACCTTCTCATTGGCAAAACCCCACATTTTGAAAATATCAAGCTCAACAACACAATTACATTTTTACCATCACAGTCTAAGGTTGTGAGCTAACCACCTAAATCTCCAGTCTAAAATGATCCCTATTTGTCATAGATCATGCCACCTTTGAAAATCTTTAAATTGGCTATAAATTTTATAGTAACTATAATCTTAGTAGGTATTGCAATATCAATGTAAAATAAAAGGTCTACAAAAGTTTAGTGATGATTAACATTTTAGCTCATTGATCAAAATCAGAGTAAACATTTTGAGACACAAACTTCCAGCAACTCTTAACGGATCTATTAAGGCTAGTTACCAAAAAAAAAAATTTAAAAATTGGACAAAAGACACACATTGGAAGACTACAACAGAATCCTGATGATTCTTTCTGTTTTTATTTAGCTTATAATTCTAATACCTAGGAAAACATGCTATTGTTTGTCATACTAATAGTAGAATCACCACACAATGCATTGCCCTAAACATCCCAGACAGAGAATGCCTGTGATTTCTAAAAACTTGCTGTCAAATGTTTGATCTGTGCACTCAAAGAAGTGAAGCCTGATAAAGCCAGGTTTGCTTAGTTAAGGATTAATTTAAATACTTTAGTTTGGACTCAGGATTATTTAACTTAAGAGTTTATTTACTTTTCACATCCTCTTTGCAGGTTTCAGTGAAATACATTTAACACATTCATTAACTACAGAGAATAAATATACCAAGGTGGTAGCAAAATTATCATGTAACATGGGTTTGTTTTGTTTTGTTTTTCACCAAAAAAAAGTGAGGAAAAAAAGAACTGGAATAATGTTTATTTGAAAATATAGCTAGTTCTGACAATAAGGAAAATGTGGGCTTATTTTTCCTGAATTTTTCAAGGGAAATATATAATAAAATTCAGTGTAGGGGTTTAAATGTTTTTTTTTTCACTTCATTAAGATTATATTTTTTTCAACTTTATTGAGATGCAATTGATATATAATATTGTGTGAGTTTAGGTATACAGTTTGTTGGTCTATATATTTAAATATTTCAAAATGATTACCACCACATAGCTTTAGCTAATACCTCCATCCCATAAAACTACCTTTTGATGGTGAAAACATTTAAGATCAACTCTTTCAGCAACATTCAAGTGCACAAAAGAGTAATATTAGCTATAATCACCATGCTATATGGTAGACCCTCCAGAACTTGTTTCTATTCCCATTCACACCCCCATTTTGCCTTAGTAACTGCACCATCTTCATCATTATACCTCTGGCTCCACTTTTGTGCCTCCTATACCAGCACAGATGCTGTCTGGGCCTTTTCTTACACCTGTAACACATGGACTACCTACCCCACCACCGAAATGCAATCTCACCATATGAATTATAGCTCATTTCTTAAAAAATCATTCACACCAAATATGTGTCAAGCACTGTTTTAGACTGTAAAGCTATGACAGTGAGCAGACAAGTAAATTCCTTGCCTTTGTGAAATTTACATTTTCTTAGGAGGGAATAGACTGTAATAGCAAAAAATAAACTACATTTAGAAAATAAAAAGTGCTATGAAAATCAGATAAAGAAAGTAAAATTAAAAATGAAGAAAAGTCACAGGCATGAATCGGTAGGAAGGAGACTTACTTTAGCATGCTTTTTTAAATTATCAGGGACAAGCCATCTTACTTGCTAAGACCATTTTCCAAGTGAGATTTTGCTAATTTATCACATCCAAGACTATTTCCTCCAAGAAATATGTGCAAGAAGTCCAAGTTTCCTAGTTTGAAGCATTAACAATTAAAGAGTTTGATTTCCTAAAGGTGTAGGCAGCTAAGTTTAAAATATTTATATATCTTTATATCTAGATCAATAACCATAAAGCATTTATTAGTGTTCTACTTTAAGGTGTGATATTTTAAAGTATCAGTAGTAAATTATAAATAGAAAAGAATAATCATATATGGTTATATACATGTAATACATATGTATACATATATAATCATATATGTATGGATCGTTATAACACTGACAGACACACACACACACACACACACACACACACACACACGATTGTAATTATGTAAGTAGAGACAAGTGAGCAGCGTGATGATTAGCAGGGAATTCTCACAGTAGAAATCCAATCCTAGGTGGTGTCAATCCTTGAGAGACTTAGCTCTGGCACTTTTGATGCAAGTTTCCTAGGGATTTTTTTTTTTTTTCTAATTTTGCTATAATCACATTCAGCACTCTCAGCACTTGCTTTTATTTTTAAATCTTAATCAGGGAAGACTTTCAATTGCCTATTTACATATGGGTCAAACTTTACCTTCTGCTCTATCTCTTCTAAGCCAACACCCACCCAAGCTACTTTTTTTTTTTTAATTTTTTTTAATAGAGGCATGTTTTTATTTATTTATTTGTTTGTTTTGTTTTGTTTATACATGCACTGGGTAGTCAGAAGCACGGGAGGGTGAGAGAATTCACCAGAGCCAGAGCGGGGAGCAGAGCAGGCAGAAGGACCGAAGTACACTGCTGAGGGGAGCAGCGGGCGGCAGGAGAGGTCTGCGCGCCTTGTGGGACCCTCCTCTGGTGGCCGGGGAGCAGCCGGGGATCGAACTGGCGCCGCAGAGGCCGCGGGCAGTTTTGCAACCCAGCGCTCAACCGCTGTGCCACCGGGGAGGCCCCCAAGCTACTTCTTAAGAAAAATGATGCAGACACAGAGTAACCATAGGTTTTAAAAATAAAAATTCCTGTTTAATTTTCTAGTGTTCATTTTTATTCACTAGTAAGAGGGAAATTTTCTATTTTACAAGTGAATGAAATTTGTATTCCCCTCAGACAACATAGCATAATTCTCTTTTTCAAAGACATTTAAATAGAGTACAAGATAGATTTTAAACAAAAATAATGTAGACCTGATGTCAGATAACCTAAAGTTAATCCTGAAGGGTATGAAATCCAGGACAAGTTAGTACTTGAGGAAAATTGAGTAGTAAATTGTCAAAATCCCAAGGCTTTCTGAAGGAGAGGAGAAACAAGTACAGTGGGGGAGACCGGCCAGGGGCAGGGAGAGCTGGCAATGGGGATTGTGATGGACTTGGGCAGCCAACATCAACATGAAGTCCTTATTATAGCAGTGAAAAAGCTGTGCTTCAAAATGTTGTTGAAGAAGCTTGTTAAAGAAGAAAATTGCAATTAATGTGTTTTATTTTAATATACTGTATTTAATGATAGGACACATGCTTTACAGAGAAAAAAATAAAAGCTGAGATAAAGCTTTCCTTAAATATGCCTCCTCCTTTTTCTCCCCACCACCCTTTCCCAACAAGACTCCAGAAACAACATTTCAAACCAAATTAGAATAACATACGTGTATCTGTTAATGTGTGTATATTGTGTGTATACATATGCACATATATACATTTATATATGCACATAGACATATAAAGCATAGCAAAAAATTGTGTCAAAGAGGAATTATGCTATCATTTTTTATACCCAAAGTCATAGCATACCCAGGAAGAAGTTTCTATATACTGAGAATGACTCAGGTTTCTTTATTCTCATCTTAATAGCTTTTTTAATAACAAGAGAAAAAATCTGGTGATTGAAGACATCTTTTATGTAAACAGTTGCCAACTTACCTCATAAACAGTGACATAGGTATCATTCTGAATAGGAAAAAGAAAAGAAAGTAAAACTACTTAAAACGCTGAAGGCATAAGTAATGTCAGTAACATTAGCTGGACGTTTCTTGTAAATTAATTTGTTGCCCCACCATTGACAACCACAAGCAAGGTTGGCAGGAGCCAGATCATCATTCCAGACAAGCCACTTGACAAACAGCTATGAAATCTTGTTTGCATCATGGGAAAAACAGACAGGCATGATGCCTTCTAGAAAACTCCAGTCACCTAAAAGGCCATCTGTGATGGACCAGGCTAGGGGTGATTGCAGATGCCCAGGGGAGACAAATCTGAAAAAAAGTGAAAACCACCAGCAGTTTTGGGTAGCAAAGGCCAGCAAGTTCCTCTATGCAGACAAGCCTCTCCAATGTCCACTCTGCTTCCTGGGACTGTCGCTGGCAGCCAGTGGTGCCTTCACTCGGCAAGTGCTGTCTGAGCACCTGCTACATGCCCCACGCTGTGGTCAGTGCAGGGGACACAGTGTGAACACGGACAGCATCCCACCTGACACACAAGTGGGGACAACTCTTAAGGGAAACATTAGTATCAAATCAGAAACATAATACTTACACACTTTAGAGCACAACTTTCCTGATCTATAGAGTTCCAAAAATGACATCCTTGGATGCACTGCAAGAGACCATAAGAGACAGTAGTCACTGAAGAAGTGTGACTTTACCTTGTGACCTGAAATTTCAACATAGTGACAAAATATGTTTAGAAATAGAAATCTACCAAGGGATGTATGGCCTCAGGCCCCTCTGGGGTAAAGTATGACTGTCATATCTACAGACAGAGAGGACTTGGTGTGGTTCAGTGAAGGTGGACAGGTTGATACATGGAGTTCAGCCTGGGGCAGACAGGCCCTGAAGCTAGTGAGCACTGCCTTTTAGGGGGCACACTGTCCCCTAGGTGGTTGGCAGCAGTTAAAGCCCAAGACAAGGCATCAGGCATAGCAATGGTCCGTGGTGTGTCCTCACGTGACAAGCAAAACTCGAGCTGGAGACTCACCCAGAAGGCAGCAGATCAAAGTCTAAATAGGGGGCAGTATGGGAAGTCTGCTCACTAACCCCGCTTTCACCCCACAGCCCCTGAAAATTTTGTCCCAAAGCTGCCTTGGCCTCCTATTGGACAGACTGGATCCTTTTCCTCTTCCTTTTACTTGACTTGTCTGTGCCTATGACTGTGTCGTTCCTTCCCACCATAGAGCCACGGTGACACCTGCATCTGCTTGCCTTTCTCCTTTTTTGCCATTACATTTTTCTTTTCCCAACTCTACGGGTTTGTGTCCTAGCCTCAGCTTTTTCTCTTCTTGCTCTTCAAATTCTTCAAGAGTGAGCTCATCCACTACCTCAGCTTCAACCTGTGCAGTTCTCAATAACCCCCAATTTGTAACTTCAACTAAGGTTCCTTCCTGAATCCCAGGCCAGATTATTGAAATGTGCATAAGTCATCTCCATTTTAACTGTACAAGCACCTCAAATTTAGCAGGTGAAACATTGAATTGCTCACCTTCTACTTCTATTTCCTTTCTCCGGTGTTTTCTATTAATTAGCTGTCATCTTCTGAATATCCCAACCCAGGAATGAGGGCACCCTCTCCTTCTCATCCCACCAACCCCTGAGGACAATCTATCACCAAGTCCCATTGTGTCGCCTCTTCAATAACTGAATCCACTTGAGTTTCTTACTCACTGCCCCTGTGTTTCTTTTGTGCCTACTGCCACTTGCCAATAGCCTTCATGAGACACCTCTTGTTTCCACATTTGGAGTGTTCAGTTAAAAAAAAAAAAGGCCTAATCAGACCCTTCTCTTATCTAAACTGTGTAAATCAAATTCCCAAGTATAATACACAGGGCCCTCCGTGGTCTGAACCCAGCTAATTTATCAACTTTATCTTCTGTGTCCCCACCCTCCACACAAACACCATGTTTTTCAGGCAAGGTGAAATATTCTTACTTTCCTGAACAGTTAGCCTACTTCAAACTATTTTGCCTTGGCACAAATGGCTCCCTCTGATTGTTGGTCTCTTTCCCTTCTATTCCTTCTAGAAAAATCTTCACTTTTCTAATTTTAGTTTGAAAGCTATACAAGTGGAGGTGTTTGTCCTCTTCTGAGTTCTCTTTGTCCCTCACACTCACCACTGTTCAGATTCTCACAATGCTGCGTGGTCATAGTTCTGTGTGTGTCTCTCCTGTGAGGTTGAGAGCCCTTTAAAACAGAGGCCCTATTTTATTTTTCTTAAGCCTGTCATGCCTAGCACAGTGCATAGTTCACACTGACATGTTGAGTAATTAAACACTTGAGTCAATAGATATAGATTCCAAAAAGTAATAAAACCATAGATGCAATTGTTAGGGGGGGAAAAAAAAAACAACATTGGAAACTATCTAATCCGACCCTCTCAGAGAAACACAATAAAACTTAGTCTCAGGAATTTATTAAGTAATTTATCCAAAGCCACATAGCTACACAGAATGAAAATCATGGATTTCAATAAGAAACGCCCTCTTAAGTTCTGCCCTCTTTTCACTTCAACACAGTGTCCATGACTTCATTTTCAAATATTCTGTTTTTAGACTTCTCACTGTTTTTGACTGACATTCCTTCATCAGAGACAAATAAGTGAGATTTTACTGAGGCAGCTTTCTTATTGTGCTAAAACCTAACCTTTGTCCCTTTGTTATCAATTCACACACTGTAAACTTCCTGATGATGGAGGTGATTACTCACAGTTTCGCTCAGGTTATATGGTGTTCCAGTGTCAAGCTGCCGACCCTGAAATGAAGGAAATAATAACCACCAGCTACCAATATTGTATTTAAAAAGAAATAAATAAAAAGCTTTCTGGAATAGGACTGCCTCTTTGGTACTTTCTCACTATAAAGTAAGCAGTCACATGTTTAAAGATCATTAAGTCGGTCATGAAATCAGACAAAATGCCAGAAAATTACAAGATGTAATGCCTAGGAATCCTGCAGAAATGATAAAAGTAGGAGTGGGTATATGGCTTTAAGGTGTGGTTAAGGAAAATAGAGACTCTCATGTTATTACATAAACCTATGTCAGAAATCAACTCCAGACAAAGGACTCCAGGTTTAAGTAAAGATAAATTATGTTCATATTTTTCCTTTCTTAAAAGCAATCTCCTAAGTAACAGTGAAAAACATACAAAATCAGAGTTTTAAGTAAACATCAGATTATTTTTCATTCACAAATTTTTTTTTAAGATTTATTTATTTATTTATTTATTTATTTATTTATACATGCAATGGGTACAGTCAGAAGCGCGGGAGGGTGAGAGAATTCACCAGAGCCAGAGCGGGGAGCAGAGCAGGCAGAAGGACTGAAGTACACTGCTGAGGGGAGCAGCGGGCGGCAGGAGAGGTCTGCGTGCCATGTGGGACCCTCCTCCAGTGGCCGGGGAGCAGCCGGGGATCGAACCGGCCCGCAGAAGCTGCAGGCAGCTTTGCAACCCAGCGCTCAACCGCTGCGCCACCAGGGAGGCCCTCACATTCACAAATTTTAAGACAATTTTATGTGCTGGGGAATAAAAGAAATGGGAGCTAAGGAAGAGAGAGCGTTACTCCTCCTGGTCATTATTTGAGTGGAGTCCTTCAGAAACAGAAGGGCTCACAAAAGGTGACAGTGCTGAGTCTATGATAGTCATGTATAAATGGATATAGCCTTACGTGGGTAGGATCTGATTATCAACCAGCCTCGCTGATTGACTTAGAATTACAGCCAGGGCCTCCCCTGGTGGCACAGAGGTTGAGCGCTGGGCTGTGAGGCTGCCCGCAGCCTCTGCAGCGCCGGTTCGTTCCCTGGTCACTGGCGAGGGTCCCACAAAAAAAAAAAAAAAAAAAAAGAATTACAGCCAAGCCAAATGGAAACTACATGAATATGTCTAGTAACTGTAATTGGTGCTGACCAGACCCTTCCCTTAAAAATTGCTGAATTTGAACCATTGAAAGGTGATTAACACAGCACAGACCATCTGTTCTTGGCTGACCCAGTACTACTTGCAAGATGTATCCCAGGAGATCACAGAAAATCCAAAGTGGCTGGGGAAGAGGTTTAAGCATCTGTCGTGGCCTTTTGAACTGCCAGTGCTTTTCAGAGGAGAGAAACAAGACGTTCTTCACTAAGCTCTCTCTTCCATATGCACACCTTCCATTTTGCCTTCACGCTATCCCATCACTGGAACAGTACCTGATGGATGTTCAATAGATGTATGCTGAAGCAAGAAATCCATGAGCTCAAGATGGCCTAAGACATAGCGATGTCCCAGAAGTCCCATCCGGCAACCTGGCATTGTGGGGGTCTACTTCAGAAGTAATCAGACATAGGAACGAAGGAACACCAGATAACTTTTTTTCCTGTTATTTGAAGTGTGAATGAAAGGCCTCTAATGTCTACTCCCTAACCACTTATATGTGGAGGGAAGGGAGAGGTGTGGGTGCTTAATAAGTTTTTGTTTATACATAAGTATCTGAAGAGTAAGAACTACTTCCTTTAGATTAACCATGTAGCTTCATACTGAGTAGAACTTTTTTCTATGATTTTAAGCAAAGGAAGCTTTCGATTCCCCTTTAAGTGATTGAAACACAACCATATAAAATCAAATATAAGATAATGACTTTGCAATTGAATATTTTCCTGTCCCCTCAAAAATGTATGCTAGCTCATAAATTCACAAGGGTGGACCCAATTTAGCTTTGGTGTTCCATTTTAAGTAAAAGGGCAAGGGAGATGTGTCTTGATGACTGTAAAGTCTCACTGTGTCAGTAGTCACTGTGTGAGCACTTCTGTTATCAGGTCTCAAGATTAAGTTTAATAGACTGACAATAACATAGATGGAACTTGTAGGGATTATGCTAAGCAAATAAATCAAGGGGAGAAAGACAAATACTGGATAATTTTGCTCATATATTCTACTCACATGGAATATAAAGAAACAAAACAAAAGAACAAATAAAACTAAAGCAAAACAAGCCCTAGAAATTTGACTGTATAGTTGAGGCTGCATAAAGGGGAGGGAGAAGGTGAGGAAAAAATGGGGAGAGGGGCCCAATGGACTATGATGGAGGATTATTCGTGCTTTGGTGATTGGCTTCGTATGGTGTGAACCTATGTGCCCAAAACATACACAGTGCTGGAAATGGTTGTTACCTGATACATAAACATACATACATACATATATACATACATGCATACATAAACTTAACAGGTTAAATGGAGTGTCCATCGAGTGATCCTAGAAATGGTAATAAATCTCATGAGTTAGGTTTATGGGATTCTGCAGAAATAAATTTGGCAACACTCTTTCCAAATCTCTATTCTTTCTCCTCCTCCTCCTCCTACTTAACATTTTAGTCAGTAATTCCTGTTACAGGCAAGCGCTTGACACGGACTCTCATTCAACATTTCAACAGCACTATTAGGTAGAGACCATTGCGAAATCTATTTTATAGATAAGACTCAAGGAGGTTTAGTAAATTGCATCAAGAGTTAGGGTTTAAGGGTGGGGGTTGGAGAAGGGAAGGAGGAAGGAATGCCTGCAGAGCTTGTGCCTCCCCTAGCCCGCACCAAATTCACCTTCATCACCTTGGCGTCTGATCCTCACCAGTTCACCTGCTCCAATTAGCTGCTTAAAACACACAGTCCGAGTCCAGGATCTTAAACCTCTTACCTAACACCTACGTCTTGGCACAAGATTTCCTATCCTGCCTACATCAGCCGGAACTAAGTTCATTCTTAACTTCCTATTCTGATGAAAGAAACAGAGCACAATGATCTGCATTTTAATCCCTGGTGACACTTGCTCCTGATGAGATATTTTCAAAGTTAGCTCTGCTAAGTGTCGTGTTCTCATGTGAGAAACATCAGTAGGATAATATTTATTTCATAAGGTTTGGTGAGGATTCAATGTATTAATAACTATAGTTCAGTGCCAGGCACTTAGAAATCCATTGCTAATGTTGTGAGCAAACATGCTATAAACAGTCTTTATGCATACATATCTTTGGTTCTATTATGCAGTAATTGTCTCAGAGAAATGTCTTGATGTGCATGGTTAAAGGTATAATTTTCCTTTTTAATTTTGATATTTATTAACCTGTTGTTATCAAAAAACTATCAATTTATCTCCTAACCACAGTACATGAAAGTGCCAGCTTATCAAAACTTTGCCAACTATGAATGTTTTTATCTTTGCCAGTGTATAGAAGAAAATAGAAGAAAAATTAATAACCCATTTTAACTTTGTAATTCTATGGTGGCTGTGAGGTTGAACATCTGTCCCTTGCTTTTTAACTGTTTGTACTCTTTTTAAATTAGCACTTTATATTCTAAATTTATTATATATATATAAGGACTGGTAAAATTTCTTGGTTGTTTTTTTTAAGATTTACTTACTTATACATACAAGAACTGGGGTACAGCCCAGAGGTGTGGAGGGGGCAGGGTGAGAGGATTCATCAGACACAGAATGGGGAACAGAACTGTTAGACTGACTGAAATACACTGCTGAGGGGAGAGACAGGAGAGGTCTGCTATGCCATGTGGGTCACCTCCCTGGCCGGGGATCGAAATCATACTGCAGTGGCTGGGATAGTTTCATAATGCTGCGACTTAACCCCTTGTATCATCAGGGAGTCCCCTGGTAAAATTTGTTTATCTTCTATAATGCTTTTCCATTTTTGACTTTGTTTTTACTGTATTCTGTTTATTGTTAAGAGTTTCTAATCAATCAAATTTTTAAACATTTCTTTTAGGGATTCTAGATTTCTTTTAAAGTAGCCTTCCTAAGGCACTCTCACTTCAAGATTATAGAAATATTAACCCTAATTTATTCTAATATTTTTGTAGGGTAAATTCTTACTTTGTTTTGCTTTTATTATTTGTCAATTATAGTATTTAAATCACACTATTTTAATACTTCCTGGAATTTAATTGAATCTGGTAGTGATGTAGAGTTGTGTTATTTTTAAAAAGGGTTGTTATTTAAAAAAAAAAACTTTTTAAAGATATTTTCAGAGAAGGTTTAGGTTTATAAAAAAGTGAGAGTGAGATAGAATGATTTCTAATACACCCCATGCCCCCTTATGCATAGCCTCACCATTATCAATATCACTCACCAGAATAATATATTTTTGCCAAAGATAAACCTGTATTGGCACATCATAATCACCCAAAGTCCATAGTCTACATTAGGGTTCATTTTTGGTACGGTATAGTCTATGTATTTGGACAAATGTTTAATGACATATACCTATGATTACACTATCATGCAAAATATATTCACTGTTCTAATAATCCTCTGTGCTCTATTAATCTCTGTCACCACCACCACCACACTGCTTCCCCATCAGCCCTCATTCCTGTTAACCACTGATCTTTTCTTATGTCCAGAGTTTTGCCTTTTCCAAAATTCAGGATTTCCAGAATGTTGGAGTCATATCACTTATAGCCTTTTCAGACTGATTTCTTTCTCTTAGTCATATGCATGAAGTTTCCTTGGTGTCTTTTTATGACATGATAACTTATTTCTTCTGAGCTCTGAAACTGCAATAATCCATTGTCATTGTCTGGATGTACAACAGTGTATTTATCCATCAACTTAATGAAGGAGGAAGTTATTTATTATTCTGAATAGATATCCCCACTTTGTTTAGAGTTTTATTTTCATCCTACCACATACTCCCTTATGTAAATGATTTTTTCCAGACTGTATTCTGTTTTACTGGCTTGTTTATTCCCACACTAATACACAATACTAATTTATGGATATTTTGTGAAATTCTTAGATTATGGCTTTGTTCCACACCTTATTATAAAGCTACATATTAATCTACAAGAAAGGTGTTGGTGTTTGTATATGTTTTTAAAGGACAATCTTCTGAACTCTATTTTTCTAATATTCCTTTATTGAATTGAATTGATAGTTATGATAGAGCATTTCTCAACACTAGTTCTCCAGTTGTTGGGATTTTTTTACTCAAAAAAAGAGTGTTTTTTTAATTGCGAAAGATCAGAAAATTGTGATTAAACAAAGATATTAATATGCTATTATACCTTATGGATCCAGCAGAAGAGGATATGACAGAAAACATTTCCATAAGTGATTTGACCATCAATCTTTTTTGTTTCTTTTTCATAAAGAATCACAGAATACTATTTTTTTGTTTGTTTTCTGCACATGGCATATATAATTTAAAAATATTGTCATCTAATATACTCAACTAATACATAGATCCTTGAATTAATATAAAATACCCTGGCTCAAGCATAGAATTATGAGTTGTGCATTTTTTGGACAGCAATTCTAATATTCCTTTGTGTAAAACCATTTGTGACTCTTTTCAACAACATCAAAAACCACTCAGTGAAATCGGGGAAGTCTTTCACAGCAAATATCCAGACTAACAAAGATATACATTAGAGAAAAATTCATTAAGTAAAATACACTCAAGCACTTTGCATATCCTGGTCCCTGCTCCATCTCTGTGTAGTGATCACTGTTCATTCATCAAGACCTTGCCCCCAAGCAGCCCCTGTGTGGGAGGCCCAGATGGAGAACATTTATTACAGTCACTAGTCAAATTGGCAGACTGTGTCTCTTGCTGTTGCCACCACATCAACTGTGCCTTGCTCTGTAGGTGGTGAACGGAAGGCAACACACAAAAGAACAAACTGTCTAGTCTAACTGCAAAACCCTGAAATCAAGGAGCCCACACAAAAAAATAAGATAGAACTAAACTTAACTAAAATGAAATGGAGACTGTAAGAATGGAAATGACCGACTTCAGTTTTGGTAGCAAGGAAATTAGCAAACAGCATGATGGGATACTCTAAATATATTAATGGTCTTGTTTCCAAGGAGCTGCAAGTTATAGGGGGAAACTCACAATATAATGTTAAATGAAAAGGCTGTGTACACAACTGTGTATAAAATTGTATATATGCCTAAGGGAAAATATACTGAAAAAATACAATCTGAGTCTAATAGTGAAGGAATTACAGTTTCCCCCCTTATTTGTTTCTATGTCTTCTCCACCCAATAAATATGTATTCTAATGAATATGTTTAAATTAAATCAAAGGAATTTAAGAGAGATCATTTCTTTTTGAATCTCCACATACTTCCATCTCTAATAATGTGTTTGGTACTTTCATTATTTAAATACAGTAACATCTACAATATTTGCTTTTTCCTTTGTCCTTATATAAGAAGACTGCATATTTCACTGAGTAGAGCACATTTGGTTTCTAAAGTTGACTTAGTGACTCTTTTAAGCACAACAAAGTCATAATAACTGAAAAGATAGATGCAATGTAGAGAGGAAGGGTGACACCCAAAATGAGAAAGCAAACATAAACTTCTAATCAAAAAACTCAACCAAAAAAAGGGTATAAATTCATAGAAACAAATAAAGAAATTTACCAAAAAAAGAAAAGAAAAGAACTAAAGGCATACACAAATAATTCTTGCTTTAAAAATCAAATGCCCTCTATGGCATCTGCATCTGCCTTCAGGGTCCTGTGCCTCCCGGTACAATCGTCCTTCCACAAATAAATAGTGCTGCTGTCTGCAACCAGAAGGCATTGCTCTGTGGCCAAACCTATTTCATACTTCAAGACCAATGTAAATGATTTTGTAATAAATGAGTATAAATTTATATTTCTAAAGCATGCAAAGTTGATTTTACTTAAGCCTACTTTGCCCAAATCCTCTATCCACCCCCCCAAAAAAATCTAGGAAACAGATAATTTAAAAAAAATAGCACTGCCCTACCTTCTCTAATTATAAATGTTCCTAACTTATTTTGCAAAAATAACATCCCTTGCCTTGATACCACTTCTCATCAGAGAACATCTATAGAGAAAATAATTGAATTATAACAAGCTGAGTTCTACATGTTTCAGTTCATGCAAAGACAAATATTAGAACAGTAAAACTTACCAGGTTAGTTACACATGACTTTAGGCAGCTGTTTAAAACTGTACACTGTGCCACAGAAATCCATATGCAGCCAAGAGTTGCAAAATTGACAAGTTGCCGAATAAGCCATAGAAGGTTCTTCATCACTTCACCAATGGTGTGTTTTTAAATGACCATTTTCTCCATATCTCTATATGAATTCTTTGGGCTTCATCCCTTCAGTTGAAAGTGATGTGTTAGAATATCTCTGCCTTTTAAAATAATACTTAGATCTTTTAGTTTAGACCTTTTAATCCTAAATCTCTTATAACACTCACATAGCAGCTATTTCGTAACTTGGCTTCCTTATACTTCCATAAAGAAAGTCACCGACTGACTCAAGGTTCGGCTTAGAAGAGCACTTCTCATGGAAAGTAAACAAAGTAGAAACGCACATTGCATTTCAGCAAGCATGTGACACGTGCAGTCCAAAAGTGAAACGCTCTGATGGGTCATCCACCACTTCACTTCTTTGAGGTTGGTTCAGCTATGCAGGAAGTTGGGTTTTGTCTATCAGTGTGGTAACAAACAGTAACACTAACCAAGGATTATTGGAAAAATATACGTGCCTAAATCAAGTTATGCTGTAGAGGGGAAAAAACAGATCCATTTGTAACCAAATACATATTTTAAATGAAAAAGAAAAAGCTAAAATTAATAGACAAATATTCTGAGGGTGACTTCCAGACAAGGAAGTATGTTCAAGTACTTTCAGAACTTTACTACATATTAACTAAAACACCTACCTTATCAGGTCTATTAAGACAGAGAGCTGAAACTCGCCACCACAGAGACCTAAGATAGCTGCCTTGGAAAGGAAATCATGTACAAAATTTCAATTAACCTAACATGAAGATAAAGTTATACTAAAAACAAAGAATTTGAAGTCTGCAAAGAATTTGAATAAGTAAGTCATTCTGGATAACTACTTTTCACATGGCCCAAGGTTAGCAATTTAAAGTCAGATAGCTTTTGTATTAGTGCTCTTTCATGCAACAATCTAAAGTATTAAATAAATTTTTGTCTTCTTAATTAGCTTATCTCAAATGTAATTTAGCCTATTAATGGCATGCAGTCTCATTGGGAGCAACACATGCATGAGGTTTTGTTTTGAACTAAATATCTTTTAGCAGATGTTGACAAAACTGGTGTATGGCATACAGATGATTAGCACCCACTCCAGGACTGACCCAAAACATGTTTTCTTGGAAAAAAAACAAACTTTCTGTCTATCTGCTATTTGTTCATTTTCTACATCTTAAAGAATGTAGATAAAAGAAGTCACACCTGTTTTTTTGTTCTGAAAAATGTGGCCATTTTTCAACAAAATATACTATTAAATCAGAGAATAAAGTACTGTGCCTAAGAGACTGTCTCATCCTAACCAAATTTGTCTTCTTCACCATTGTTACCAGTATCTTTAGCCTTATTAACACAAATAATAATACTTGAACTTTTACTTCACTAACAAAAGGGACCACTAAGTGTTTGCTTGAAAAGCTGAGTACATTCTTTTTTCTCACTAGATTTAATTTTATTGGTGGGACATGAAAAAGAAGAAATGTCTTCCAAAGGTCCTTTGATGTAAAGTTTTTGCCAATATCACCTCCTCTGGGACATCTTCATCTTTATCATTACAACCACTTTTTTTTAAAGATTTATTTATGCATACAAGAACTGGGGTACAGGCCAGAGATGGGTGGGGTGAGAGGATTCACCAGAGACAGAGTGGGGAACAGAACAGGCAGACTGACTGAAATACACTGCGGAGGGGAGCAGCAGGCGAGACAGGCGAGGTCTGCTGCGACATGTGGGTCACCTCCCTGGCTGGCTGGGCATGGAACTTGTGCTACAGAGGCTGCGGACTGCTTCACAGTGTGGTGCTTAACTGCTTGCGCCACCAGGGAAGCCCCACAACCACTTTTCTTATTTATGTTGTTCCTAGACCTGGGGTTTCAATCCTACCGTTGGTCAGAATTTAAGGCACCTTCAATCCTAGGTGAAGACTGCATCACTGAGCTTTTGACTAATTTCCATTTGTTGAGATACTGCCTAGAGTCTGGGAGTCCATAAACTGGTGCTAGATAGATCACGAAATTTATATCTTCATAAGTAATCTGCTCTGATTCCTTGTTCCCATGCAGTGGCTGCTGACCTAACTTTCTCCAGTTACAGGCATTGGCCTCCAAGGTGAATATTTAGGTTCCAAATGCTGGCACCCCACGCTCAGTGCTGACCCTGCCATTCTTATATTTGTACCAAGGACTTCCAGTTACCCAGTTTCTTAATTTTTCTTTCTAACAAAAGTGTTGCTTTTTATTTGTTAAATCTCCTATGTATTTGCATTTTTTAACCTCTTAAATCTCATTATGGACTAAAAGACATTGTGTCTTTTTTTTTTAAAAAGATTTATTTATTTATAACAAGCACTGGGTACAGTCAGAAGTGCAAGAGGGTGAGAGAATTCACCAGAGCCAGAGGGGAGAGCAGAGCAGGCAGACTGACTGACAAGTCCAATGCTGAGGGGAGTGGCAGGCGGCTGGAGAGGTCTGCGCGCCAAGGATCCACCGGGATCCTTGCCCGGTGGCTGGGAACTGAACCGGCGCTGCAGAGACTGTGGGCAGCTTCTCAACCCAGCGCTCAACCGCTGCGGCACCGTGTGGGCGGGCCCCAAAGACATTGTGTCTTAATGGCACATATTTCAAGAGATTGTGACCAGATGGAAGATGACCACTTAAAAGTTTTATCTAGAGGTAGCCCTTTCTAAAAATTTTAGAAAAGTTTTATCTAAAACTGCTTTAGATAATAAAACTAGGAGGTTTTCAAAAGCAAAGTTAGGGGCCTCCCTGGTGGCATAAGCAGTTAAGCACCGCACTGTGAAGCAGTCCGCAGCCTCTGCAGCACAAGTTCCATCCCCGGCCAGCCAGGGAGCAACCCACATGGCAAAGCAGTCTTCTCCTGACACGCCTGCTGCTCCCCTCAGCAGTGTGTTTCAGTCAGTCTGCAGTTCTGTTACCCACTCTGTCTCTGGAGAATCCTCTCACACACACCCCCAATACCTCTAGCCTATACCCCCATTCCTGTATGCATAAATAATTAGATCTTTTTTAAAAATTGTCTTTTAAAAAAAAAAAGCAAAGTCAGGCTCCTGAGCCTTTTCCTCTTCTGCTAGACTCCAGACAGAGGAGCCAGAGTCTACAATAGGGTTGTCACTGTTTTTTTTCTCACAAGAGTAGCCCCAGTCTTTGTACATAGTATGGTTTTCTCCTTCACCTGAGGAGCTAGACCCCAGTCAGCCCACTGTTTCTGGCGGCACCACCAATGTGCTCAAAGATCACACATATACACAATTGCACACTTCTGCCACCACCCCCCTGCCCTTGGACAAGAATTACTGCTGATTCAAACCTCTGCTTTAGGCAAGGAATATCTGGACATGAAAAAGAAAGCAACTGCCATATATAGAAGGTGGGCAAAGGGCAGAGGAAGTACGGATGGGACTGGGGCAGGGAACCTCAGTAAGAGATGGGAGCCACTGAAGGAGGCAGACTTGTGAGAACCAACCCTATGACTTTTGTCTATCAGTGAAGTCCACACACTTTAAGAAATATGTGATCATAGTTGTAATTATTAGACCACGAGTGATATGGGACAAACTCCAAACTGACCTTATTGCAGATACTGAGAAACCAATAAAAGTGGGAGGAGAAGGAAACCCTACTAATAACTTACTATATCATTTGTGATTCTTTACCCAGTATGACTAATTAGTCTGAGCACAAAACCAATTAGCTTTGAATACCAACTTCAGACTTCAATATGTTCTTCTAAGAATACATTGAATTTCACATAGGAAAGGAAGAATAGTATCGTTCAGATTTCTTTGCTTCAAACATTATTGCCCTGGTAAAAGAGTTTATTGGTACATCAAGAAATAGTTCTTAACTCTAAACAAGTACGGAGAGCCTAGTATATCTCAATGCATTTTAATTCTCTTATTCCCCACAACAGGTCTCTAACACCAACGCTTCACCTTTTCTGTCTCCTGGAAATAGTTAGAACATGGGCTCCCATATTAGCCTGTGTCCAATCCTAGCTCCAACTCTGAACTTTGTGGCCTTGGGTATTACCTAAAAACTGTCTGCCTCAAATTCTTTGCCTATAAATGGAAATGACAGATTCAATTTCAAAGTTTTAGTGATTGACACATGGTGAGTTTTTAATTCTTTGCATGTTTAAGAGTTTTATCACTAGATATTCAAGTTGTTCAGTTCATTGGTTAAATTAGTCATCATAGTTTTTTGGATGAGTATTCAATGGTAATTGGGTACCTCCTATTTGCCAAGGATTATGCAAGGCACTATAAAGACAATAATGACCAAACAGATAAAAATCCCTATCATCACTGAGTTGGAGCCAGAGAAGACAAAGCAGACATACATTTAGTTATTTTCTGGTAATAGTTTCTAAAAAGAAAAGGTCAGGTTTGCAGGGATAGATGACTAAGTTTTCAGGCTGCGATTTCAGATATTATAGCATTGTTAAAAAACAAAAATCCAACTAATAAATCTGAAGGACTAATAGACTTCATTCAAAGATTCATGAATCTGGCAGCATGCCAGTAGCCAGTGACAAGTTCCAAGGAGCTGGACAATACAGATGATTTTCTAGACAACAAGCAAAATTGGGAAAGAGGGGATTGTCTCAGGCAGGCTTAGCTTTATTTGAGTGACAGATGGGGTCTATTAAGCAAATTATCTCATTTGTGCTGACAAGGAAATCTAATTTCCCCAGTTAAAGTTTACATTTCTGAGAGATGTTGAAACCCCAATTAGGTTAGGTATTAAGTCTTGGTTTGCTGATGTGGGATTTAGCACAAGTGACTCCATTGGGGCCTGTAGTTTCTTTTTTCTTAACAGCATTATATAAATTCTCTATGATTTTATTTACGGTTAAATGAAAAAAAAATTGTGATTTATGCTTGTGCTTGGAACAGTCTGCTAATATAAGTTATATTAGTTATATATAATATATTATATTATATATAATATAATATAATATAATATATATAATGTATTATATTAGTTATATTAGTTATATATAAT